CAATCAGGGAACTGAGCAGCAGTTAAGTGACCCCCAAGCCACTCGGGAATGCAATGTGCTACTTCCTGAGTCCCAACACAGACTGCTTCACAGGACTTCCTTATGCTATCGCGGATATCAGAGCAGAGCAAAGACGTGTCGATAGCACCCACTTTTCTGCCCCACAGACTGCTCAGAGCCCCATTCCTTCAGAAGCACTTTGAATCATCTGTTGCTCTCTGTGTGTGTGTGTGTGTGTGTGTGTTGTGTGTGTGTAGGGGAGCAGCAATCTCCACCGGTCTCTGAAGTCACTTTTCCCTTTAGCTTTCTGGATTAACTTCCAGTACTACCCATTGCTCAAACTTAAGCATGCACAGCCCCAAATCTGCAAGGAGGATGCAAACCCTGAAAATCCATGATCATCTTTCAGAAACGTCAAATTTTAATGTAATATTTTTGAGAACAGAAATGTATTAAGAACCATCTCTGCTTTCACAGAGACATGAGAGAAAGGACAGAGAACAGGGGAGGGGAAACTGTCCCAGGAAAATGTCTCTGATGCCTCTTCCAGGTGGGGGTGGAGGTGCCACCCAACTCCAGGTAACTTCAGATATCCCTGAGGAGAAACCTGAGGCAGCTTGCACACCTCCCTCCAGCAACTGCTCTATACAAATGAGATCCCAAGTGATCCATCTTTCTGAGTAGATAGATAACGTTAATTGGCATGGGTTCACGGCCACCTCTGTCCCTGTAAGGACATAGTGGGGCAATTTAATGTGGGTCCAATGCCCTGTCCAATGCCCTTCAGAACCTGACAAAGGCATGTAAGGGGATCCTTAAGAGAGGAGCTGGATGAGAGGCCCTGCTACATTCTTACAACCTCACTACTGACCATACATCCTAAGCAGCAATTCCAACTAAGGAGGCTAGCTTACACACACACACACACACACACACACACACACACACACACACACGCTAAACAAAACAAAAACAAAAAAAATCAAAGAACTAAAATCCAAAGACCAAAACCGATACCACCAAACACTAACTATCTGTGAATTCGACAGGTCCTCACCAAGAGTTCCCTGCACTTATGGACAAAAATTCAGCTGCAGGGATTCCATGGAGCTAATAATGTCTGCATGCCTCCTCTTACAGTTTGGATATTAAATGTCCCCCAAACCCATGTGTTGAAGGCTTGTCACACAGTGTATCAGAGTTCAGAGGTGGGACCTTTGGTAGGTGACTGGATCATATAGGCTGTGACCTCATACATTCATTGATACATGTGTAGCTTTCTGGGAGGTGGCAGAAACTTCAGGAGGCTGGGCCTCCTGAAAGTAACTAAGTTCCAGAGGGCATTCCCTTGAAAGATGCACTTCCCCCAGCACCTTCCTCTCTGTTCTGCCCACCAGGAGGTGAGCAGTTTTGCTCCATTGTGTGCTCCCCACCATGATGTTCTGTCTCGTCTGAGGCCCAAATTCATGGAGACAAGTGTCCATGGACTGCAAGCTTTGAATTCATGAGCCAAAGTAAATATTTATTCTTTTTAGGTTCTTTTTCTTAGGTATTTGGTCAAAGTGACAGAACATTGAGTAACATAGAAAATTGGTACTGAAAAATGGGGTCATCACTGTGACTATATCTGACCATGTGGATCAGATGCTGTTGGATATGATTTCCAGGAAGAATTGGGAAAAAGCAAGAGAAGCAGGCTAGACAAAGCTTAGAATGCTGTAAGTTGAGCCTAGTTAGTTAGTGCTCCTGGTGATTGCTCACAAGATCAGACTGCTGGCAGGATTGATAAGGTTTCCAATGGGAACAAGAACTCTGCTGGGTCTTAGACGAGAAGCCATTTGTGTTATATTCTGGCAAAGAGCCTGTCTATATTTTGTCCGTGGCCTGAGACTTTGTGTGAGGCCAAGTTTAAACAGGACAGAATAATTAATCTGGTGGAGCAAATTTCAAGTCACACAATGTCTGGTTCTGAAGTGGGTGTTGCAAGCTGCTTTATACATCTTTCTGCTCTGCTTTTTTTCTCCCAGTTGTCAAGTTCACAGTGAGAACTGGGAGAGAAAAGCAGAGCAGAAAGATTTGAAAAACTTGCAGTTTGTCCAGAAAAGGACCATATTTAACCTTGAGGCCAAGGAAGGCATGGTTACTAAAGAAACCAAGATAATTAAAAAGAAGCCAAGTACTTTGCACCAGGAAAGATGCCTTTCAAACATCTGAGGAATGATCTAGACCCCACCCATGGCAGACTCCAGGATGTACAAATAGTTCATTTGAAAGATAGTTTTTAGAGAAGAGTCCCAGGGCACCTTGCTCAGTCAGGGTTGCCTATGGAATTATTTCCCTAGAATTTCTGTCCCATGGTTCAGTGGTCTAGCATTCAGAGGCTGCAGTAGTGGGCCCACCTACTGCTCCTGCCAGGGGCAGACCCTGGCATCTTCCACATGGTATTGGTCTTGCAGCAAACAGAATGCAAGAGTGTCAGGGTCATGGAGGTTTCCATTGCAATTTCAAAAGAAATTCTGGGAAACAAGGCAGTGTGTGTCAGGATAAGAATCCTCTAAGTGAGCAATGCATGAAGCTATGATAGTAGAGTGAAAGCTGCAATGGAGATGCCAAGGATGTGGAATATCTACAAAGGAAAGCAGCAGGCACAGGCAGTCAGTCCTAGAATGACATCACAAGCACTGTGGAGCTCATATGATGGCATGGTATGACGCAAGGCTGACACAGAGCTATAATATTGAATGTTTCACCTGCTGGGTTCTGGTCTTCCTTTGGACAAATTCCTCATTGCTATTTTCCTATCCCTTCCTTTGGGAAGGGTAATATTTATCTTATGTCTTTGTATCTTGGGAGTATTTTTAAATTTTTTAGTGGGGCTCACAAGGAAGAGCTTGCCTTGGATCCTCAGAGGAAACTTTGAACTTGGAGGTTTAAGCAACGCTGGAACTATTGACTAGAACTCTTAGACATGGATCGAATGCATTTGCATTGTCGGGTGGCCAGCAGCCTTTGAGGGCTGTGATGGGTGCATATTATGGTTTAGATCTTTAATGTCCCAAAACCTCATGTGTTGAAGTCTTGGTCCCCAATGCAACAGTGTCCAGATGTGTGACCTTTGGTGGTGGCTGGATTATAGGTGCTCTGACCTCATAATTATGAGGATTTACAACTCAAGATGATTGAGAGGTAGTAGAAACCTTAGGAGGGGGGCTTAGTTGGAGGAAGCATGTCCTTGGGGGCATGCCGTTGAAAGGTACATTTTGTCCCTGACCCCCTTTCTCACCTCTCCAATTTTACTTTGCTTCCTGGACACCTTGAGATGAGGAGCTTTGCTCTACCAAATGCTTTTTGCCACAACATTCTCCCTTCTGAGGCCCAAAGAGAAAGGACCAAGTGACTGCGATCTAAAACTTCTGAAACTACAAAGCCAAATTAAACCTTTCCTCCTTTTGTGTTGCTTTTCTCAGGTATTTTGTCATAACAATGAATAACTATTACACCTTCCAAGGTCACCATCTCAGTCCTCACTTGGGCATCAGGACAGGACTGCAAAATGTCTCAGCCTCTCTGTGTGACTCTGAACCCTTTCAGTCTATTCTGGTGGCTAAGCCCAGCTCTGTTTATTGGTATGAACTTAATATTTTTGGTACCTCCTTACAAAACAAAATGGTGCATTTTCACTAGGGTTTGTGGCAAAAAGCCTGAGTTAATTAGAAAGACTGTCATGCCCTGGTGTGAAGGAGGAAATATTCATATAAAAATAGGTCTGTTGTGTCCAATTGCTGTCCCTTAAATGTCTGGGTTCCAACTAAGACAAGACTGGTATCCAGGCCCCCTTTCTTTGGGGGTAGTGCCCCCCCATACACACCAGCAGTCCTCATGTCCCAAAACCTAACCCAGCCCCGAGTAGCATGCTTCTTCCTTTGAAAATGTCAGTCACTGATCAGAGTCTTGACTAAAAGAATGAGCTGTGCAGAATCATCTCCTTTAATACTTTCCTAAGTGTCACAAGTCAAACTGCCACATGTCAGCTGTGTGGCAGCTGTCACTCAGGAAGCAGGCATGTCTGATCTTGGAAACTGGCTTGCTAAGAGAGGTTGCTTCCCGAGAGTGTATGCTTAGGCTGCCTTTTAGAGTCACCAGGAACTTCTTAAAAGTAGACTCCTGGGTCCCATCCAGGAAGTACTGTCAGTCGGGAAAAGTATGGGGGCCAGGAATCCGCATCTAACAAGCACCAAAGGCCACTCTGCCTTGCAAAGTCTTTCTTGGGTAATATCCCAGCACTGTGTCACAGAGCCGCATTATCTGAGGCGAACGGGTCACTATTTCTCAGCCTCAACTTCCCAGGGCTAAATGAATGGAGCAATAATGGTCCTCTTGAAGGGGTGGGTTCACTGCTCAGAAGTGGGGCTCCACTCAGAGGCAACATTTGTTAAACGGTATTTATTCCTATTATTGAACATGGCTCAGTTCATTTCAAGCCCTTGAAGGGGAGTCAGGGGGAAAAAAAGTGCATATTTCCACCTGTAATCACTGTCTCTTCTTTCAAGGTCTGGTATCATTCAGCTGAGTCCATCTGGTCCCATCCTTTCTTTGTTGGGAGGCTTTTTATTACTGCTTCAATCTCATTCCTTGACAATGGTATTTTAGGTTTTATATCTTCTTGGTTCAATTTGGGTAAGGCATAAATGCCTAGAAATTTGTCAATATCGTCTAGATTTTCTGCTTTATTGGAATGTTTTCAAAATAGTTCCTAATGATTCCCTGAATTTCAGCAATGCCTGTGGTGAGATCTCCTTTTTCATCTCTAATTTTGATTTGAATCTTCTCTTTTGGTTAGTCTGCCTAAGGGTTTATCAATATTGTAGATCAGAAAAATCTTGTGGATATAGATGAAACATTCTCTAGATATCTTTTAAGTCAATTTTTTATATTAGAGAATTTTTTTTCCTTTTTTTTAGTTTTATTGATTTTATTTTTTTAAATTCATGACAGTGGAATGCATTACAATTCTTATTACACATATAGAGTACAATTTTTCATATCTTTGTATATAGAGTATGTTCACGCCGATTCGTTCACGCCAATTTATACATGTATTTTGGTGTTTTTTTTGCGTTACAATTCTTATTACACATATATACCACAATTTTTCATATCTCTGTGTGTGTATGTATGTGTGTGTGTGTATCTGTTTACACCCAATTCGAGTCTTCATACATGTTAGGCCCATTTGATTGATAGTATTTTTTAGGTCTGAAGAGTATTTACTTAATCTATGTGTGAATGGCCTACTGGTGAGAGAGGTGTGTTGAAATCACCCAGTATTAATGTATTGGAGTCTGTCTTGGACTTTTTATCAAGAAGTGTTTGTTCTAGGTAAGTAGATGCACTGACAATGATTTTTTTTTTTTAATTTTAAAGAAGAAAAAATAAATTTCCATAGAAAAACACAGTTTACATCCAGGACTTATACGCTGTGCTGGAAATGGCAGCCAGGGATTTGCCATCCTTTCCTCCTCTGGTGATGAATCTGAAATGCTATCTCTATTGGTGTGAATTAGGTCATACATTTGTCCAACCTGGCCAGCCCACTTCCATAAACAGAGTTGGTGTGGATAATACACATTTTGATAACTGGGGATAATAAACTTTCTTATACATTAAAAAAAATATATACAGTTGCAATGCTCTTTCCCAGCCTCCACACACTTCCGTTTTGTTTCTTTTTTTGTGGTACTGGGGAGCAAACCTAGGACCTTGTGCATACTAGGCAAGCACTCTACCTCTGAGCAACATACCCAGCCCTCTGTATTCCTTTCAGAATCCAGATTCTACAACCCTTTTCTCTTCCAGGTTCCCCCATAAATACATTATAGGATGACTCAAATTTGGGAGCTTCCAGAGCCTCCATCTGAATGGAGACAAAAGCAGATGCGCCATCCTGGAGAACAAGAAGCAAAGTCCTCCATTTGCAAAATGGTCCAAAGTGAGTCATTTCACTGGGGAAAATGAATATATCTGATCTTGTAAACGTCTCACTCAGGAAAAAGCCTCATGCATGAATTAAAAAATAGGCTTCTGGAAAAAACAGTTAGTTCCCTGCTCCAGATGGAGGCTAAAGTCAACCAGAGGATGGCATCATTTGAGTCTCAAGAAAAATATCCTCACCAAGCAGGGAGTAGGGCGAGGTCCGGGAGGGTTACTAAGGATTGGTAACCTGCACAGTATGCAAAGACCATCAGCTCTCAGAGGCCATCATTACTTTCCTGAGGCTTATGACATCCAGAAACCTCATCAAAGACTCATCTAATACAATCCCTCTGCTGACTATTTTTTGTTAGGGTTCTCTTTTTCTTGAAGTTTATGGCCTAAAAACACTGATGAGTCCTGTGTCCAGTGAGATACACAATAACATGCCCATTCTGTGCAGGGATCTGCCTGGGGGCTCCCACTGACACCAAGATGAAGTCAGGCCAGGGACACCCGCTCAGTCCGCTCTGTGCCCAGTGAATGCTGGGCACTCCTCCGGCCATGACCCAGGGTCCTTATCCCTGTCCTGGACTCCTTACTTTGCCCTGGATGAGGAGTGCTCAAGTCACTAGAACATAAAGCAGAAGGAACTAAGGTAAAGCCAGGCACAAAATGACATGGGGCACAGGAGGCTCACCAGTCCCAGCTCCCCCCCAAGCTCCAGGAAAGCACCCACACTGTGGCCTCCAAGAAAGGCATGGGCATGCAGGAGTGTGCCCCAGGAGCACCCTGGATCTCCAACGCTGACCAGGCAGCCCAGCTAATGGGAAACTAGAATTAGAGCTGAGTCAAAGGCCCAGATCAGAATTCTTCCCACCAGGGCCCCATTATATTTATAAGCCTTTAATATCTGGTCCTTAGAGGGAAGCTTTACTTGAACACTACAGTGTCTCAGTCCCTACTGTGACTGTGTTAACACAGGGTTTTGTTTCTTTATCCAACTTTGAGGGAATATTTCTATCTGGGAAGAACTACACGATTCTTTCTAGCAGAAATTAGGAAAGTAAGTTTTTAGGAATGTCTCAAATTAAAAATAACAAAAACTAGGTGAGTAGCTCAGTGGTAGAGCACTCCTGGGTTCAATCCCCACCACCATCACCAACAAAACCTAAATGACATTTGATATTGATATACTACTAGATGAAACAATGATGTAAATACCAAAAAGTCATGCTGGTACAAATGGCACAGATACTTAACATCTATTTATATGCAAAGCACCTCCCTGAGATTAATCCTGAGAGGGAGAACCGCCTGGATTGCAATGGCTGCAGAGAATGGCTGGCCACGGGGATCGACTCTGCTCAGCCCAGAGGGACAGTCACAGGAGCAGCCTCACCAGCACCAAGAGATGGAAAGATGAGTGGAGTCTGTGTCGGGGATGGTAATAACACTGCTTTTCCCAACAGCTCAGGACGGAGAAGCAACAGAGGGTTTTTTGAGCTTTACTGAAGCTTAAATCCAATTCTGTGAGAGATGGTCTTCAAAACCATGTAGCTCCAAGGCATTTGTTTATCTGAAAAAATGGATTAATTTCTGTGCCATTCTTCAAATAAACTGATTGATTAACATGAGTGCTGATTGTTGAATATGATAACCCACCCTCAATTCTAGGGATAAGATTATTCCCCATTTTGAGAGGAGAGTGTTAAGGCTTGAAGGTGAAAAGGAACGCAAGAACAGAGCTCAGGGATCGTGCTAGGGTTTTAGTCCTGGACCCCACCACATCAGAAATGGCACTATTCTATACTCTATAGACAGGACCTTAGATGCCAAAAAGGATTTTGAGGTCAGCCAAGGTGAGCTTGGTGACAGATTCTCCAGACCCTGACAGAACCTGTTGTGCCAGATCTTTCTTTTTTTCCTGGAGCTGTAAGATGGTCTCTTCCACTGTTCCTTCACAAATAAATCTAAAAAAGCAAACAAATAAGCACACTCTCAGAAACTCAAAGCAGTGTATTTATATAACACATTCAAACTTCTATTATGTTCAGCTTTTAATGAGATTTCTTTTAGGTTTCCTTAGGAATTGAATAAGAACTCTGTGTTTAGGGGATCCAAATACACTTGACTAAATATATGCCCATTTAAAATATGTCTCTCAAATAGACTTGTGATTTCATTCTGAAGCGTAGGGTAATTGAGAAAGCCACAAATAAGCAAAAGACACCCCTATTCAAAAAAAGTATACAGATTTAGCTTTCACCCAAATAGCTCCATTTGATAGGGTCAGAGGCTTCTACCGTGATCAAATTTCTGCCAGGCATATGTGTGTCAGTTTAAGTACAAACTGTCTTAATTTTTTGTTTATTTCACACAAAAAAAGAGGTTTTTCAAGCTAAGGAAGTGCCACTGTTGTCATTCACTCATTATTCAACAAGTATGGATTAAGCACCTGCTGTGTACCATGTACTATGCTAGGGATAGTGAAGAGATGAATAGAGTTTTGCTCTGAAGGAGAACATGAGAGAGATAAGAAAATCCAAGAATAATACAACCTAGTAGGGCTGGGGATGTGGCTCAAGCGGTGGCGCGCTCGCCTGGCATGCGTGCGGCCCGGGTTCGATCCTCAGCACCACATACAAACAAAGATTTTGTGTCCGCCAAAAACTAAAAAATGAATATTAAAAATTCTCTCTCTCTTAAAAAAAAAATACAACCTAGTAAGTGTTACAATGGAAGTATGCCTAGGAAATCAAGGAAGTTGTCATTAAAGGGTTAATTCTTAACGTGTAACCGACCTGTAGGGTTAGCAAGGGTTTGCCAGATGGAATGATGGAGCAGTGGGTGGGTAGGGAGGGTATCCCAGGGAATGGGAATGTGTGATACATCACAGTTGAATTTTCATAGTATGGTTGTGCTGGAGGAAGATCAGTCATCCAGTGGCAAAAGTCAAGGGGCTGGCAGGGCCAGATCACAAGTGGTTCTGCATACCATGCTAAGGCATTTAGAGGAAGAGCCATTGATGAATTTGAGGACTAAAACTGCAGAATCAGATTGAGGAGTTAGGAAGAACCCTCCAGGGGTGATGCAGAGGACAGGAATCAGTATTGCTAGAAAGAAGGAGGTGTCAGTGTGATGGAAAGGAACGGTCATCAGAAAACACAACATTCCGAAAACACAACTAGAGGACTTGGCATATGAGAAGTGAGAAAGAGGGAGGAGTTGAATTTCTGGCCTTTTGATTAGGTAAACAGTGGCACATCTCACAAAGACAATGAATACAGAATAAAAAGTAGATTTGAGGTGGTGGAAAGAAGCAATTTCAGTTTGTGACATCTTGACCCTGGAACATGTAATTGTACTTGCTACGTAGAGGGTACATCACAGGTATTCATTTTAGGAGCTGAATATACAAATGGAATAATTTCCACACAGATGAGTGTGTGGGTATCAGATTCAGATATTTAGCAGGAATTTGGATATCGAAGGCTGGAAGTTTGGGAGACAGTGAAACTATAGATATAGACTTTGGACTTACTGGAGTGGATAGAAATTTTAAGGCAAGGGCATACCAGAGTGGGCAGAAAAGAAATTTAAAGAATCAATGTATTTGGAAAAGATTGGAAGTCATGGTGCCCCTTAGAAGAGCAGCTTAAGTGGAGTGAGAAAGATGAAAGCCAGTTTGCAAAGACTGAGGAATGAATGGGAGGTAAGCAAGTAAATCAGACAGCGATTTCTAATTCTTCAGGAAACTTGGTCATGAAAAAGGAGGAAAAAAAGGGCCACAATGAGAGTGCTACATTTTAGCATTATGGCAAATTGTGTTGTTTTTAAAGACAGGAAGGTCTCAAATAGAGGAACATTTGGCAAAACAGTGAGCTTGTGATCTTTTAAAAGTCAGTGTCATAGAACAATGACTGAGGCACTGTGCCAGACTGAAGGAGACAAAGCTGTGACAACTGCATGCTACACAGGATCCAGGATTTTATTCTGTTGTGCCACTGGAACATGTGGTAAAACTGAATAAGGTCTGCTGTTAAGATAATAGTGCCACAGTGATAGATTAAAGCAGTAAGCAGTATCATAATTTTAGGAAATGCACACACTAAATATTTAGGAAAAAGTAACATCATCTCTGCAACTTACTCTTTAATGGTCCAGAAAAAACGCTGATGCATATGCTTATGCACACAGTATAGGAGAATCTTTGGTACTCTTTTACTCTTCTTGCAATTTTTCTATATGTATGAGATTATGTCATAATGAAAGTTAAAAGCAAAAAAAAGTGAGCCCTTTCACGGCCTACCTGGAGTGTCATACACAAGCTTATTCCTCTCTGGCAGTGACCAAACTACAAGGTTATCTCAGATTATTTCTTTCTTTCCTGACTATGGTATGCCTCAGAAGCATCATGAGTAATGTGATCACCAAATACTTTACATTCTATTAAAACACTGCCTAAAGAAGGCTTTCACAACAACAGACACTAGGAATGGTCCTCAGGGCCTTTATTTACCTGTGTATGACAACATCTTTCTGCTGCCCTACTCGATAAATTCTGTCACAAGCCTGATCTTCAAGTGATGGATTCCTGTTAGAAAAGAGGTAACATTTAGAGGTTCTGACATCCTACACCAGAGACAGTAAACTATGGTTCAAGGGCCAAATCTAGCCCACATACTGCTTTTGTGTACGTTTTCAGCTAAAAATAGTTGCTTCATTTCTAAAAGGGGTTTCAGAAAATAAAACCCAGAGGAAGATATATGACAAAGAACTATGTGCCAGCAAAGTCTGAAGTATTTGCAGAAACACTTTGTCAACTCCTATCTTAGGCTACACTGGACCAAGCAAGATTAGTGCCAGCTATCATTTTGCCCTCTAGTGAGAAACTAGAAACTCTAATAAAAACTCTTAGCACTATCATCGGTTGATAACTATAAGTAACAAGGTTAAACCAATAGTCAAATACAGTCTTTAGCTAGCTGGATGACCCTGGGCAAGTTACCTAGTCTCGCTCTCCAGGCTTCAGATGACCACATATAAACATGAGGACTGGCTAAATGTTCTGAAATTTAACTTTTCAACTTTAGTATTCTATGATTCAACTAAGAACACTTAATTTGTAACCTTCTTTATAGATCCTCCTTACCAAATTGCAATTAGTTTCTCATCTCACTTCTTTAAAATCTTGGATAACAATTCTCCATCTCAGAAAACAGCCTAATTCCTAGTATGCTTTCCTCACTACTATGTACATACATGGGAGCCTCAGGTAAGATTTAAAACACAACCTCCTGGAAGATGACAACAGGTTGGTCTGTCTGTACCAATTTGGGCAGGCTGGAGAATTAGACACACAATCCCAGCAATGGTACCTGTGCAGCAATCCCTGATTGGCGTAACTATAAAACTAGAAAGTGGTAATTAACTATGAGACTTTTCCTGGTCATACACTAACTTACTCATCTTACCAATACTGTGGTGTTCCTGGCATGGACACAACATACAACAAATCCAAAGACTATATTAAGTGTATTTCTAACATAATTAGAAAATTTCTTCACCTTTTAATGGAGCTACATCCCCAGTACTGGAGTAATGCTTCTAAGGTTGAGACTCCCTAGGATTATATGTCTGGAATATGGTTTTGTGGACAAGTAAAACTGGGCTCTTAGCTACGAGGAAAAGCTGTGCTCCCAGCTTCCAGGGAAATGGATATTAGACTAATGATAAAGTGAATGAGATATTTTAAGTAATCATTTGAAGCTTACTCAGGAATTCAGAAACATTGACTAGCCCTATATCCTGTTTAGACCTGCACCTATAGACATGTATGCACAGAGGCATCTCCATCAAAGAAGCAGAACACATTGCCTGTTGTCCCTCTAACCCAGTGGTCTCCCTACTATGCTGTGACAACTCAAGATAAATCTTGAATCATTACCAGTGCATATCCAGAAGAAAAAGATGATTTCCTCCAGTTAGGTTTAGACCAACACCTCCAGCCAAGAGAGAGATTAGCATAACCTTCAAAGAGAAACATAACCATTAACTCTACACAGTCTTGGTCTCATAATACATCTGCAATAATTTGGATTTTAAGTGTCCCTCAAAGATCCATTTTGTCAAGGCCCAATCCCCAGCATGGTGCTGTTAAAGAGGTGGTGGAAACTTGAAGAGGTGGGGGCTAGTGGGAGGTCTTCAGGTCACTGGGAGTGTGCCCCTGAAAGAAATAATGGCCCCCCCATCCTTTTCCCCTTCCTGTCTTTTCCTACTTCCTGGCTGTGAGGCAAGTCATTCTGCTCTGCCACATTTTCCGGCCATGATATGTTCTCTCACCACAGGCCCAAAGGCGACAGGAACCATTTACCATGGACTAAAACCTCCAAAACAGTGAGACATAAACCTTTTCTCTTTCTAAATTAATGATCCCAGAAAGTTGTTAAGAGTGACACAAAATAAATACATTTTCCTTTCCTATCAGGTTTAAGCCCAAGATCAAAATAGAAAAACAATGTGTTCCTATCAAATTTTCTCCTGTTGTTATTTTTTAAAACATGCATTGACATCTCCCATGCTTCACCTCTGAAAAAACTCTCACATCTTTAAACTTCCCACTAATCAGATATGTGTATCAGAACCCTTTCCTCATTTGCCTTAATTCTCCTGCCTATTATTCAACTTTTCATATTTATAATCACATCTGACTTTGTTCTTCCATTTCTTTCCAGGTTTCCTCATATCAAAATCCTATTTATCCTTCAAGGCTTGACTTCTCCACAAAGATTCTCCTGCTCCTAACCAACTCTGCTCTGAGTCTCCTTTTAGTCCTCACATCTTATTCTCTTTAGAGTACTTGTGCACTTTGATAAGTACCCCCAAAAATGTCTAATACATTTTAAACACTTGGAGAAATCAAAGCTGTGAATATTTTTAAGTCGAATTGCTGTATTGTCGTGCTCTCTGTATAACTGGGAACAATTTACTCTTAGTTATAGAGCTCTGCTATACCAGCTTGTACCTGAGGGCCCCTGCAGTGGTTAAACGCCTCCACCAAGTCCATCCTCTGTTTGGGTTTGACGGAGCCATCAATGGTGGCATAAGTGAATCCATGCTTCTTAAGATGCAGTGCTACCACTTTCAGCACGCTGGTCCACTGAGAGACAATGACACTGGAAAGAAGGAGAAAATAAAAACCAACTCCACTAACAGATTAAACAAACTCATCTGTAGGGTTTTAATGCCCTTGTTAATCTTAAGAGACAAAGAAAGGAAAAAAGTTACCTAAGGGAAAAAGTTGCTCCTATAGTTTGGATGAGTGTCCTCCAAAGACCCACATGTAAGAATAGGTCCCAGGGAGAAAGTGTTAGGAAACGATGTGGAGCCTTGAGAGGTAGGACTTAACAAAGTTGCATAGGTCACTGAAGGTGAGCCCACCAAAGAAATCGTGGGATCCCATCTTTTCCTCTTAGTCTCTCTCTGCTTCCTGGCTTCTGATTAACCATCTGTTCTGCCAATGCTCCTGCCATTGCCATTTGCTGTTCTCAGAGTTCCAAACAATGGTACTGCCCAATCTTGGACTTGAGCCTCCAGAACCATGAGCCACATCAAACTTCTCTATATTTCATAAGAAGCCTGTGTTAGTATTTCATGTGGTGACATGAAGCCCTATAGGCACACACTTAGGTTGTCCTACAAGCTTAAAATGCTTCCAGTTATTTTGAGACTTCATTCTTGTCTTGTACTACACAAAGTCAGAAAAAAAAAAAAAGGTAGAATAAAATAACTACCCCAATTTCCTTTTATTTGGGGGCCTACTGCTCATCCAGAGATCTGTGTTCCTGCAGTAAATGGACACCACCCTGTGTCACAGAACAACACGGCACTAGGGTTCCTACCTCCCCAAGCCACATTTTTATTAAAGCTTTAAATGTGTAAAGTATTTCATATACACAAACGCTGATGTACAAAATATGTGTAAGATATAACAATGAGGAAATGATCCCGGTCTCCCCACCCAGCTTCAGAAGCACATCAGCAGTGCTGCTGCGGCACCTGATTTTCCTATGTCACTCCCTGGCTTCTCTACTTTTAATCACTGTTTCAGATGCCTATCTTTCCCTGATCCTCTAGGGATGTCCTTTTCAATCTGTACCACAAATATTTTAATTAGAAATCTTAGAGAATTTGTGATATAACCTCAGTGCTTTCTGCTGAGCATGACTTGAGGTCCTTGATATAAAAAGCTAAGATTTATGACTATCAGCAATATCAAATTTTCTTGCTTAATTATAACCAATGCTTGGATAATGAGAAAACACATTTACCTCTTTTGGGACCCTGAGTTTCTTCGGATTGCCTCCAACTCTGCCAACAGAGATGATATCTGGGAAAAGGTTACATTAACATTGCAAGTTGAAGCAATTCACTTTTCTCCATTTTCTCTTGCCTACATTACTGAAGCTCTATCCTGGAAAGCTTCTAAGCTTCTGGTCTGACCCCCTCTACTCTGTTCACCCCTCTGTAACCAGGAGCTATTATTAAAATGTAAGCTTGTCACTTTCCTGCCCTGGCTGAAACCCCTTCCGTAGCTCCCCACTAAGGATAAAGCCCAAGCTCCTTAGAACGACAGGCTCAATCTTCACTGCTCTTGCCTCTGCTTACTTTTCTAGGATCACTTCTTGTTAATGACCTCCTCAAATGGAACTTCAATCACATCAAAAGTGTCCTTCAGAAAGCCATGCCGAGTCTCACCTTTGTCTATTCTGTTCCCTCTAATGTCCCTTTTGGGGCCCTTTTCAGGCCCCAAGTATGGATTACGTTCACTGCCCGTGCTACTATTTTGTCCCTACTATTATAGTCCTCATTACACTACATTTAATTGCTCATTAATCATCTCTCTCTTCCAGGACTTGATATGCTCCAAGGGGTCAAAGATAGCACACGCTGAATTCATTTCTGTACCTCTGGCCCCTAGTACCTTGCTGGAACAGAGAAGGTACTCTCTTCATACTTGCAAAAGGAGAAAGTGAAAGAGCTCTACCCACTTTCAGGCTGCTCCAAATGTCACTGAAGGAGAGAACCTGTTCAGACGGAGCAGCAATTGTTAAAGCTTCCAAGCAAGCTCTCTGGGCATTTACCTAAAACCTTCAGGATGCTTTTAAGTCCACATGGAAGTGGTCAGTAAAAACACAGTGGCATGACTGTGGAGAGCAGCTGGGTTTGCTCTTTTGACTGCTAACGTGAAGGACCTTTCAAAAGCCTCTAAGAGGCTCACTGGTTGAGTGCTTGCCTTGCATGTGAGGCACTGGGTTCGATCCTCAGCACAATATAAAAATAATCAAAATAAAGATATAAAAATAATTTTTTAAAAAGCCTCTAAGGGCCCTAGAGTTCATTTCCTGAGTGGCAGAAGCGGAAAAAACTGGACCAGACATCAGTCAGGAGACAAATACAGTTCTTAGACCGCCATGGCTATTCCATGTGGGAACCCATATTCCTCTCAGTAAAGAAGGGCTTGGGCCAGATAAACTTTGAGGTGTGCTAATTCCCACCTTCTAGGCTGTTGTTACTGGGATAACCCAATGCTGCTTTCCAATCTTAATGAACATTCTGATGCTTGGGCAGGAAGACAAACAAGCACTGTACGTTTGTAGGAATAGGAAGAAAGGCAAGTGTGTATGTTTTTAGTTAACAATAGAACAGAGACACTCATTTGCCAGGTGTCTTGGCATCTTAAGGTTGTGAAAGAAGCCATGAAAAAGCTGGTAGTAGGTTTTTAAGAAAAATGAAGTGGGGGAGGGGAGGTTGGATTCATGGTCCATGAGCTGGGGTCAAATTTCAGAAAGACTATTCCTTCCCTCATGAAACAACTTTACTAGGTTTGAACCACTATTAAGGGGCTTATGTTTGAAGCCTTGTGAATAAGTATTATCTGATTAATGACAAGGAAGACAAAGAGATAGGAATATAAGTTTCTGCTAACTCTGAGTTCTAGAACATGAATGCTAGCCACATGCAGGGCTATTCTTCTATTTATCTCAGCAATTTGTGGCAAAGACCTGGGTAGATGCTTTAATTAAGAGGCAGCGCTTCTTTAAAAAAATAATAATAATTCCATTCCCTTCATAGTAAACTCCTTTCTAATTTACATAAAAGTATTTCAAAAGAGAGGTTTAGGTTCAAAGTGGCAACTTAAGATCATGACAGAGAGAAACAAGGCCTGCTTTCAGGGTGTGCAGGATAAGAGAGCGCATTCCAAGCTGACGGCAAGAGAGGACTCAAGTTACAGAATAGCTCAGCCTTCCAAAAGCTTTGACAAAAATAGAACAGAATGACTAATAAAGATAGAAGGCCACGCAGGAAGCGATACTCACAGATGGAAGCCTTTCAACAAGTCAAAGCAACTGGTGCTCATGTGTATTACACAGTCCCTAGGCTCAAGGCTATGGTTTAACTTTCAAGCTTTCCCTAAACAAACTGCTCACTTGCTTAGGTCCCATCCCCATAAACCTGGCAGCCTCCCTTCCTGTAATCCCTGACAGAAAACCTGTGTGGATGGCAGAGCTGTTCCAAACCACTCTCTGAACACCCACTTTGTAATAAGGTTGACTGTTCTTTGTGACATAAAATGATGTTAATACAATCAGCTACTACCATCTAATAGTTCTTCCTCTGTCATCAGATGGCTGTACCCACTGGGACAAATGAGGCACTCAACACAGGGTATGAACGAGAATCCAAATACCTCTACCAAGAACAGAGGTGACAAGTACCTTGGTGCTCTGTCGTGTGTCTTCGAAAAGTTCCACCTTGAAGGGTGTGCCATTGAGGGAAACAGTAGGAGACGACTCTGAATCATGGAGTTCGGACAAGGTCAAAGCACTGAGCTGTTCCTCTAGGGACAGGACAAGGCCTTCGCTCTTCAGATCTGCAGGATCCAGGGCCTGAGCACAACACAGAAAGGGACAGGAGCAATTGGGCAGTGGAAGCAGCATGCATTATTACTTGCTGATGAGGCTCTGATTGTTCCACACTTCACAGAGCAAAACGCCTTGTAATTTATCTTCAATAATTTCTCAGAGAAACCCTCCTTAAAGTGTGTACTTACAAGTTTTTTTCAACCAATTAAAGAAATACAAAATGATGGAATTTTTTAAAGACTTGGACAAATAATATGATCATTCTCTCTATCTCGGCTAGCATAAAACAGTTAATTAAGCAGCTGATGATCAAAACACATTACAACAGCTTCTGAAATTAATGCTATGTGCCTCTTAATTTTGGATGTGCCTCTATTCAATGTGAAGACAGTTTTTCAATTTGTATAACTACTTGAGTTTTCATATCTAGACCTAAAAGCCTCAATCCTAAACTCTAATAACCAAATTAACCTTATGACATTCTAAAATACTGAAGCATTCATGAATTTTCTTTTAAAACAAAATGTGACTTCCCAGTCTCAGTCTCTAAAGCAAACAAACAATAATAGTGTGCCTTCTCAATACCACAGGAATCATCAAGATTAATATATACTATCATTTAAAGCAAAATAAACAAGCCCCTCTTCTCTGCCCCACCAAAACATAAAACAAAACAAAACCCCCAAAACACCATTTCCATTGATCCAGCCAACTGGATCCCAGCTGCAGAAGACAGAAATCGTGACACCATGCTAAGGCCTTTTCTTACCGACTTCAGTAAAGAAAGATGGCAGCAACACTGACGGAGCCTCAGCAACTGGGACAGTATATGGACGGTGCTGGATCTCTGTGAGTCTGCTGCCATGGTCTGCCCAGGCCCACTGGACCCAAACTCCTGGGCCACTTCCAAGAGAGAAGACAAACCCCAGGAAATAGTACAGGATTTAAAACAGAGAAATCTGGGGAAGGATTGGGAACTGGTTGGATCTGAGATTCAGTAATATCATTATATCTCACTTTTATGAAGCCAAATGAAATACTGGTTTTCTATATAGACATACATGTATTTTAACAAAGCAGATTTAAAAAAGCAATTATAAGAAGTTTAGACCACCAGATCTTATGTTTTCAGGTCAGTATATTTTACCCGGTTTGAGGTTCTTAGCTGAAGTCTACTCTTTCAGACCTAGGATTCACAACCTCTCATATCTGCTATTTAACTAAATCAGAATCCCCATTTTTCATTAGTGATATTTACTTATGAGTAAATGAGTCCCCCAGCTTACCTCTGATGAATGGATTATTAGAGCTTCTTCCAGATTGGTTATCTCTACTTTCATCTCTTTTCAAATAGGACTGCAGAGCAGATCTGCCTCAGATCCAAAAAGAAAATGCACAAATAATGGTCACTAACACTGAGCAGGCTTACAATGGTCACTGCTTCACTGTGCTTGCAAGTGGACCTTGGCAAATTATAGAAGAGGACTTGATAAATGATGCCAAGCTCATAGCAAGCACTAGCCAAAGGTATTGCAAAAGAAATAATTATTAAAAAAAAATTAACTTTTTTAAAGTCAGCTAAAAACATAAAGTATAAATAGAGAAAGAACATATTTACATTGGAAATGAGAAGTATTAAGTGGAAGAGAACAATCTAGATTTCAGGGAAGGATAAGACTTCTAGTAAAAGTACAAAAAACAAACAACATGAAGGATGGCAAAGCAGTTTTGTTTCTTTTAAAGTCCCAGGGAGATGCTGGGTTAAAGGGCAAAGGGCAAAGGGAAATAACTTTCCAATACAGCCCCAAGTGAAACAGACAGATCCAGTTTTCAGTAACCATATCCCATGATTCCTATGCAAGGAAGCCAATGAAAACAAGGTTCAAAATTTTGCTTTCAATGTGCGTGTGAGACAAAGATGAGCCAGGGAGAGAAGGAGGAACAAAAGGGAAGAAAAAAGTAATACAGATATCCAACATATCAAAATAACACCATAAATTCAGTTTAGGGAAAGCTGACCCTCTATTGACTCCCAAGCAAAGACAAGAATAAAACACAATGCATGTGAGAAAGTGCTTCTTCACTGCACAAACCTTGATCTTGCAAAAAAGACATTATAAACCAGCTTTTCATCTTCAGAAAGCTTCAAACGGTGCAGCTGAAATTTACGCTGAGGCAGCCTCACCTGGAAGAATAAAAGAAAATGGAAGTTGGGGTAAAGCTATATGAATTAACTAAATGCTACAAAGCAAATGCCCCAGGTGGACACTGGAAATATAGCCGACTCCCAGGAAGCATTTCCTATCCTTCTGTAAAAATAAAGGAGTGTACAACAGGACTGCTGGAACATGAGGCACAAGATGCAACCCCAGGCCTCCTCAGAGGAAAAAGGGAGACTAGAGGCTCCTGAAGCACAGCAGATGGCTGTTCAACCCCCTCAGGGATATAGTCATCCTCCTTCCCTGGCTCCCCCAGGGACAGGTAGAAATTTGATTACCAAGGGTTTGCCAGTGGAGTCCAGTTGGTCCTTTGTTCTCCTCAGCAGAAGGCTCTTGGTTAAAATACTTAACCGTTCTCCTCCTTTCTTTGAACCATTATCAACCTGACTTTTCCACAGGGTGAATTCATCAAATGGAGAACAGCGGAGAAATCTTTTTTGTGGAGGGAGGACACAGAACAGGGAAGAAAGCAGTAAAGGTTCAAAGTAAAATCAAGGTGAAAACAAATCATATTTTTTGTTACATCTGTCATCCAATCATTTTTTGAGTAAATTTCACAGCATATCTCTGCTAGACAAATCAAAAGGACCTAAATTAATAATGAAAACCACATTATAAAAATGAGTTTCTCCATTACTAATATCTGTATTATCATACCAGGATATATAACCAATAGCTAGAATTTATTCTAGCAAAGAAATTCCATATCCTCTTATGGGCTGACTTGAACAAAAGAAAGTATTTTTAAATCACTCTTTTCAGTTGGCCTCCAGTAAGCTGTAGTCCAGAGTCTAGTAGATGTTTTAAAGTAGAAATAGCCCAAAATATTCAGGGGACTAAAGAAAGATGACTTTTGCTTCCCTTATGTCAATCTCTCCTATATTTTTGCATATAGAAGAACTGAATGTAATCAAAGACCTGTATCAGTCAATCCATTGACATTTTCTCACAAATATGAATTATTTTGCCCTTTAAAGACTTACAGGCTTGCCATCTGCTACATGAGATGATCTGACACACATCAGAGTTTTTATAGTGAGACATGAAATAATGCTGAAGGGTTACAGACAGGGTTCACAGTTACATGACCCCAAGGTTACTCACTTCAACAGTGAATACATATCCAACAGGTTGTTTTGTATAGGGGTTCCAGTGACAGCCCAACGGGCACGGGCTTGCAGCTTACACACAGCAATGGACGTCTGCACATGGGGATTCTTGACATTATGAGCTTCATCCAATATAATTCGAGCCCAGACTATTTGAAGCAAAGGTGTTGAGCTGCCCTGGAAAGTGAAATCCAGCAACACTATGGGAACCTGAACATGTCCTCAAGGAGATAAGGGGAAATGACCAACCAGTACTGAGGAGACCCAATCTGACACTCTAACTTGCTGAGATCTATTACAATAAACTGAGTCGAGAAACTAGAAGCAGAATCTCTTAATTGGTTCCAATACATAGGCCACTTGAGAGTCTCAGGCCTTGAGAATAAGATGCCCAAGAGCAAAATGTTTTCTAATTTGAATTTTCATTTATTCTTTCAAGCCACATTTTGGCAATGGTTATGGGTTAAGAGTGTATCAGTCATTCAGTTTGCAAATTTACTCACTCCATAAAAATATCTGATAATTTAATAAAAATTTACTTAAAGTCTATGTTTTAATGTAAGATACAAAGTCAGACATAAAGGGCAATTCCCACCCTTCATGAGCTCAAAATATAGCAGGGGAGAAAACCAGACATAACTACAACATGATGTGTAACACGGTATATATACAGTAAATCAAACTACATATCTCAATGTAAGACAAGGGAAATCTAGCTGCTCTTATTCACTGTTGTCATCCTGGATAAGCTAAAATAGTGCCTGCCAAGTAAAAGATACTCCATATTTGCTGAATAAATGGTATGCCATGACATGAGCAAGCTCAAGGGGCTAGGAGAGACATTCAACCAAATGGTAGAAAGGGAGTGGTCCAAAAAGGATGCTTGAAGCAGCTTAAAAAACAATTAACCTGGGCTGGGGATGTGCTCAAGCAGTAGCACGCTCGCCTAGCGTGCGCAGGGCGCTGGATTCGATTCTCAGCACCACATAAAAAATAAAATAAAGATGCTGTGTCTACCAAAAACTATAAAATAAATATTAAAAAATTTTCTCTCTCTTATAAAAAAAAAAACAACAATTAACCTGGGAAAAGGAGTGGTGACAAAGAATTGTATCAAGAGGGAGAGTAAAGGCGTAACTGTGAAGGAGCACATCAGGGACTACACAACTGCATGTGTGGTGTCACAGGGAGGGAGATGGGGTAGAGAGGAGCAGGCACACTGGCAGAGCAAGATGGCAAAGTGCCTGATACATCATATAAAGAGGTTTGGAGTTTATCACCAAACTGATGGTGAACAACTAAAGAATCTGAGAAGTTCGTTATCTGTAAGAAGTCAGGGTAGTGCCATGAGCTGGTAAAGTGTTCTAGAGAGCTCCTAAATACAAAAATCTGTGAGAATCCTGTCCTAGTAAAAACCAAAATATAGACAATACTATATTTGGGGTGGAGGAGTCTCCACAATAATTATGTGATAAAGCCTCTACATCATGTAACAGATGCCCTGAATCTGCCTGAAGACACTCGGGGCTTTTTCGTGGTTATAATTTAGTCTCTGGCCTATCTGAAGCTCTATTATTTGCAATGCCCTTTTCTGGGAGGCAGATGGGAGACAATGAATGAGGGCTTAATACCAAAACACAGGTACTAAAATAACAGTCTGCACACTAAAAATAAAAAGTATCATGAGAGTATACCCCATATACTCTAAGATAAAATAGCAACAAGAGGCTTTCCTGTATTTGTGGGATTATTACCACCATAAAGCAGTGTAGTTAACTTTAACTCTAAAAGACAGCTGAATACTGTGCCAAGTATCAACTTTTATCACTGAAGTTGTTATCTAGGCAAGGGAGACAGAATACAGACAGAACTACTCATTTCCACAAGGGGAAGAACACTAGAGCACTGCTGCAAATTCCTTAGCTATCTCTGAGGCTGTAAAGACTCCCATTAAATGACATGTGGCTCCAACTATTTGCCTAGCAACCCAAGCCTCACCTTTACCCTGAGGTTTGCACCTGGAACCTCTCTCTCCTGCTTCACTGTGGGAATCTCCTTGGCCAGAAGGCTGTAAGTAGTAATCACGATGTCATACATAGAGAGGCTGCATAGATACAACAAAAAACAAACAGTAAACAATCCCTCTAAGGACAAGAGGCAGATTTGATGTCTTTGCATAAATGCCCAGGGCTAGAAGGATAGACGGCAGAATCAATTAACTTATATCCTTAACACACACATAAGCACACACACACACACAAAATTTTGAAGAGGTAAACTTTACCCAGTTGGTTTTCCTATCTCTAACCTCTGGTCATTTTTACAGTCTGCTCACTACAGCTAGAACAGCCTACCTTTTCTTATCCAATGAGCCCAGAAAGGAAAATCTCATATTAAGCTTGATATGACCTGGCCAGAACAGAAAGGACAGGGTTGGGAATGAACATTCAATAGTGATTTTTGAAATGAACTATGATAAAGCCTCAGAGAAAAAAATAAACCCTGAAAGCACTGCTGAGCTCACATCAATGATGCCTTCTGCCGACCACTCCTGGTTATAAGAGACTTGTGAAAACCCATTAATTAGCTTTGATATTTAGCTATAAAAGTGAATGCTATAGGGGCTGGGATTATGGCTCAGCAGTAGAGCCCTCGCCTAGCACATGCAGAGCACTGGGTTCAATCCTCAGAACCACATAAAAATAAAATAAAGGTAATGTGTCCAAATACAACTAAAAAACTAAATATTTTTAAAAAGTACATGCTATAACTTTCAGTTTACCTTCCCTATGCTCTTTACATGTAAAGATTCTTATTACAGACATACATCTTATTCCAATGAATATTGTGTACTTGACAGAATTGCAATAAATACTTCTGATAAAAAATTACATGCCTAATTCAGAGAGGCAACAATGCCCATAAGCTCCCTCATCATCATATATAAAGAAGTATAATTGACAATAATTCCAATCAGTCAACTAGCACATTCTGAATAACAAAACAGTTATGCTCAAAGTGCAAATCAAGTGAGATCAAATTTACTTCCAAAGGCAGACAATTTAAGTACTCTGTGCCAAGGAAGACCTGCAGGCCCACCATTGCTGCCACAACACCTCCTGTCTGCTGAAGTGACCAGTCATGAAAGTTGTACTATAATACCAAAGGTCAATAATCTGGCAATATATTCCCCAAAGACTGCTGCCCTGTTTTTTAGGAGATTAAAAAAACCCAGTATGAAAGGATAAGGAGAGAGATTACTAATAAGAAGAAAAAACTTTGATTATAGGAGCATCTTTGATTATAATCTCATCTTTGATTATAGGAACAAGTATTCACCCCAGATCCTCACATTATAATTAGGAAAGAAAAAATTTCCTTTAGAACCAAAAGACAGGGCTGGGGATGTAGCCCAATGGTAGAGAACTTACTCAGCATGCCAAAAATTCCTAGCAACACACACACACACACAACCCAAGAGAAACACTAGGACTAACATTACCATCTGGGGTAATCTTTCCTCCTTCCCAAGAATCCCCTTAAGAATTTATAATTAGGCTTAATCAACCTACAATCTTTTTTGTTTTGCTGGGGATTGAACCCAGGGCCTTCCTTGTACATGCTAGGTATGTGCTCTGCCACTGATGTAAGTCCTTCGCACTGAATTTTCTAAACTCTTAAGTCTAAAACTTTTTAGATGGTTTCTATATGAAAAATACAGCCACTAGAAAATATACACACACACACAGACCCTTAGAATTTTTATCAAGTTACTCTACAATACTGGGACAGTTCCATTCACACCAACAAGAAAAGAAAATAAGAATGTGCGTTCTTTAGCAACCTAGACATGTGACATATCCTCATTTACCAGAGAAAGTGGCTGCCACCTAGCTGACAACTCAGGTATCTCAGGCCTCTTACATGGTAGCTTTTGTTGGGGATAGTGACAGGATATGACACAAGAGAACACCATTGTCTCAAGATGTGTCTCTTAGTACAGGGCAAAGACTGTGTGGTGATAAGAATGAATCATCTGGGCTGGGGATGTGGCTCAAGCGGTAGCGCGCTCGCCTGGCATGCATGCAGCCCGGGTTCGATCCTCAGCACCACATACAAACAACGATGTTGTATACGCCGAAAAAACTAAAAAATAAATATTAAAATTCTCTCTCTCTCTCAATCTTAAAAAAAAAAGAATGAATCGTCTGTCTTTGGTCTTCACATGTGGTCAGTCCCAAGTCAAGAACCAGGGCAAGCAAGAATGTCAACAGGGCCCTTGGCCAAGGGGCCGGGGGCCCCAAGCCTGCAGCACTTCTGCACTTACGCTTTCGCAGTCAGATTCCTGTTTGGCCCATGATAGAGATAGACTCTTAGTTTGTTGCAGTTCACACGTTTCTCAACCTCATTTTTCCAATGATGGATGAGGGAAGCGGGACAGACAATTAGTGTTCCATGGGAAGTAAAGTCAGAGGAGTCTTGAGGGGGGGAAAGAAATCAATACTTAGTTACATTCATTAAATAGCGTTTAACTTCTTTAGGGCATTATTTTTCTCTTGACTGGCTTTTTTCCTTCCATCAATATTTTTAACTGTTGATCTTATTTCTACACAGAGCCGAGAGCAGAATAGGAAATGGAAGAGATGGTCTTTTAAGTCAAGACACGTAACTATTTATTTTCTCCTATAAAAGTGTCAGACAGAAAAGAGAGGCTCAAAAAGCAGTGCCCTTTCACAGAGTGGCCAGGACTAGAACTCAATCATTTCCTTCTGAGTTGATTCAATACAGGGCAGTGTTATTATTTTTTCTGAAAAGCATAACAATGTACTTCCATGTTAAAATCTAAGTACAAATTACTATTTGTCAATTAAAACACACATATATAAGTGCAAAAGTCCTCTTTCAAGGTGAGTGAACATCAGTTTGGAATAAGAAAGTAATGGAGTATTGTGCCATCACCCACCTCTCTGTGTGCTGCTCTACACAAGCTGCTGCTCCACGTGGGAGCAAGGCCCCAGCTGTGGGCTCATAAGAGGCTCTGAAGGCAGAGGACCACAGACTTCTGTCTGTCTAACCAACTCAGGACAACTATTTGTGCACATGGCAACTTACATGTGGTTATCTATGTATAATATTTTAAAAAATATGAGTGAATTTACTACATTTCAAAAACTAGGCTAAGATAGAAATTGTCTATCATCTGAAAGTTTTCTGGAATTTCAGAAATATGGAAAATGGCTTCTACTATGGAAGCTAAAATGTGAATTTGTGACAGATCTCCCTTAAAAAAAACTAATACATTAATTTGGATCTACCCTGGAGTTTAGTAAAATAATAATTACTAGGCTCGAACTAAGTCTTCTAGAGCCTTAACCTTCTCTATAATTTTTTTTTCTAATCATAGATAAAAAGCAGATTAAAAGGGGAAAAAATGATCACTTATAATTAGCATAGTCAGCATCAGAAATGATACCACAGGAAAGCAATGTGATACTGGTTTCCCAGTAGATCAATTCAATATGACCAAAGGTGTCCTTCTGTAGCTTAAGTTTCTCTTCCTAGCTGGTTCATATGACATAAGAAGTGGCATCAGGTACTTTTACCTACCATCTTTGGAAAGCCATGTCACAGCTATGTTTTCATCCCTTTTTTGGCTTTTCTCTTGATTCTTCTGGGTTAGTATGAGTGCAATCATTGTCAGGGTTTTTCCTAAGCCCATATCATCCGCTGGAAAATAAAAACACAATCCAGAAAGTGAATTACTTAGGTAAAGAACCAACATAACTTCAATAGAAGCCACCACAGACATTGACCCTGTTCTCTCTGAAGCCAATCCCATTTTAGTCCCTATTCTTTGCCAACCCCAATGGATTCTTTATCTTCTTAGTTAAAATAAACCTTATCTCTTGCTACTTATTTAGGGAACTAAACCAAACAATTAGTACTACTTTTTTTTTTAATAATTAAATCTTAAAATGCAGATCTTATCCAAGTCTCCATGTTACACTGTTACCTAACACTGTATCAACTGATAATTATTCCTGTTTGATGTCACTGTCTAGTCTTTTTATCTGTCACCCCCTCCAAAAGCAAAAAATCCCAGCAGACTCTTCCCACCATCTACTCTACTGGTGCTACCACACTTCTACAGCTCAAGAGTTAACTCTAACTGGGCATGGTGGTGTGCACCTATCGTCACAGCATTCAGGAGACAGAAGCAGGATTATCACTTGAGCCCAGGAGTTTAAGATCAGCCTGGGCCACAGAATGAGATCTCATCTCAAAAAAAAAAAAAAAAAAAAAATTAACTCCAAATAGTCCTCCATGGTCTTAATTTATTCATCAAAGAAGGCCATAATTTAATACTTCTGGGGTACTATCATTGTGCCAATTCCTAGTCATTAAGCTTATCTAATTTACTCATAATATTCTATTCTATATTATTTCCTCATCTTATTAGATTAAGACACTGAGGCTCAGTCATCAGGCTGAGCATAGGCTATAATTTGAATTTTGGCTCTACCGCTGTGCAGAAAGAGTCAACATAACAGGTCTGTCTGCTAACTTCTGAGAGGCCTACTTACAAAGTGGGCTCTTGGCTGCTGTCTGGAAACTCAGATTTAGGAAAGTTTCTCACCATTTCAGAACTGATAAGAGTGGATCACTCTGCCTAAACCATTTGTACAGACAATATGGCTCAAGCTGAACACATGCTTTCTTTCTGGGAGTATGAAACTTTGGTAACTCACCAGGCTGTAACTGCCTATGTGACCAAAATCCAGGGCACTGAATCTCTAGCAGGTTTCTCTGGCTAGAGACATTTTACATATGTTGTCACAACTACTGGGAAATTAAGTGTGACCCATGTGACTTCACTAGGAGAAGACTGCAGAAGTTTGTGCCTGATTTTCCCTGGATTTTGCCCTATGTATCTCTTCCTTTTGTTGATTTTGATCTGCATCCTTTACTGTAATAAATCACAGCCATGAGTATGACTATATGCTGTGAGACTTACTGACAAATCACTAAGCCTGTGTCAGAAGCATTTGATGATGTTTGGCAGCTAGTGCTGGGAACAAAAAAGTTAAAATTAGTTGGTGACCTGGCTGTGGCCACTGCTCCTGGAAATCTGGCCTCCAGCCTGGCAACCCACATCTCCCAGAGATTCTAGGGCTATCACAAAATAAACTCCTCTGCCTAATCAGCTAGAGTCAACCACTACTGCTTATAACTGCAACTCTTTCTATAGCTGTTTACTTCTGAGCAAGTTGCTTAATATTTCTATACTTTAGTTTCTTCATTTATAAAAGGGAATCACAATTACCTGCCTAATAGAGTTGTGGAAGGGATCAAATAAGACAACACATCTAGTATGCCAAAACATTCAATAACTGTTGGCTCTTACCATAAAACCAAACTTACCTAGAATTCCGCCCTGTGGCTTTTGCCTTTCCCGCCATAGTAACCAGGCTAACGCCTGCTTCTGGTGCAGTAGCAGTGGGACCTGCAAAGGTAACAACCAAATGTTAAGCACAAATTCTTAACGAGAAGCTGTACCAGATCCTGTATGCACAGACTGCAACCTTGCTTTTATTTTCTACAAGTGATTCCTTTAATGTTCTAGTTGTCATCTTATAAGTGATTCACTTCATCTGTCCTTCCAAGTTTAGGCTGTGGTTTACATCTGATATTCAGCATTTCTAGTCTTTTACTGGTTCGTTACAAATAGTAATTCTTTTGCATCCGTGGCACCCACTGAGAGTCCTGATTTGTCTGTTTTTACTGCTTGCAACCAAGACCTCTAGTGGTCATCCTATTTTCACTAATCCTTCTGTTGACTTTTCTGATTAGCTCTTAAATTTGACTCTCCTCTTTAACTAACATTCCAGCATTGCTAGTCATAAATTCCAACGGCCCTTTAACTGGACACTTTTTCCTGCTCCAGTCTATCTTATAAGCCGTGATAAAATTAATCTTCTTTAAACATTTCTGCTCAAAATTCTACAGCAATTCCATAATGTATTTTGAGTTTCTCTAATCAAATTCCTTCACCAAAGGCCACAGCAAGGAGTCTCCCTTCTCAGAACATCACCTGCTCCTCCCAGCTCAGGTATTAATGACTCCTGATCGTTTATTGATACCAATCTCTGTATTTATCCTCTACCCACCTATCTCTCTAATTGTCTAATTTCAATGTTTTGTTTTTATTCACTCTGCTATCTAAAGACTTATTGCTTCTTCAAGGCAAAGTAGTCAGGCAACAGATAATTACTGCTCTAGAGTGACATTTCCTTTATTTTTAATATCTTTTGTACTTTGTGTATTATGTACATCACATTAAAATGCACACTTCATCACTGCCTTATAGTCACTTTCTAATTGTTTTATATATGTTGCATGTGCACTTAAACTCCTATTGGTTTACTACAAATAGCAATTCTTTTTCATCCTTGTGGCACCTACCAAAATTCAAAAAGTGGATATTTTACTGCTACAAAAACTTATTACTTCATGACTTAAAAACAAGAGTTTTGTGCACACCTGTATACCCAGTGACTTGGGAGTATGAGGCAGAGGTTCGGAAGTTCAAGCACAGACCGGGCAATTTAATAAGACTCTGGCTCAAAATAAAAAGAAAAAGGGCTGAGGATGTAGCTTAGTAGTAGAGTATACCTGCGTCCAAATTCTAAAAAGGGTGGGGGGAAGAGGTTTTGTTTCTACTCTTTTCACTATTCAAGCATAAAAGGAGAAAATAATCCAAGGAAAGTCACTAAATCATCTATTTTGTAGAAAAGGTACATGAAGAGAGGACTCTGTATGGCAGCGTCACAGTAGTCTCTCTCTTCAGAAGGACTGGGAGACTGTTAAGAGATACTTTGTACCATGAGTCTTCACAGCTCACCTTCAAGCCGGCTGGATCTTCTGCCACTGCTGTCTCACCAGGACATGACTCCAGTGATCGATGCAGCCTATCAATGGCTTCACTTGTGATTTTCCATACTGCATAAAGGTGATCTTGGTTCCTAGGATCTGCATGCAAGAAGGCGTTATCTAAAAGATGTCACAAGTACTATGCTCTGGCTAAGGCTACAAAGCCACAGGTAAATATTTGCAGGTAAAAGATCTGTATTGACTAAAAATTCTTGCCTCCAATTCACCTGGTCTCACAGGTTTCTCTATCCCCATTGTTTGTTTTTTTAAACCAAATAAACAATATTCTTAACAGTATAAAATAATAAAAAGTGTAACAAAAAATAAGTTAACTCATAGTTTTTATTATTATTATTTGTTTGTGTGTGTGTGTGTGTGTGTGTGTGTGTTTTGCTAGGGATCTTTGCCAGAGCCTCAGACATACTAGGGAAGTACTCTACCACTGAGCTATACCCCTAGCCCAATATATAATTTTTTTTTTTTTGAGAGAGAGGAGGGGGAAGAGAGAAAGAGAGAGAGAGAGAGAGAGAGAGAGAATTTTTTAATATTTATTTTTCAGTTTTCGATGGACACAGCATCTTTATTTTATTTTTATGTGGTGCTGAGGATTGAACCCAGTGCCCCGCGCATGCCAGGCGAGCGCGTTACCGCTTGAGCCACATCCCCAGCCCAATATATAATATTTTTGATACTTTATTTTTCATCCTAGAAAAAGTGGCAGAGAAAAAGGTAACACCATCCAATATTTTAGGAAGAAAACATACCTGGATGCAAAGAAAAATCGTGACAGAAAAGACCAGGCTATATATCAGCCATTGACATTTGAGTAGTCAGGGAGAGATGACTCCTAAAGTGCAGGTCATGACCTGAGTGTATATCCTACTACAGTACTGTGAGCCCACTCCTTCTACACAGAGAACTGCTACAGATATTAGTTAATAACTACAGGTGCCTCAGCTGTTTGCAATTAGGGATGAAGCATTCTAAATAAGAAGTTTCTAGACAAATGAAAATTACTTAAATGTCAAAATGTTTTAAAACTACCTTAATAGAATTTTTTTCCAAGACATTTCACATACTTTTTACCTTATTAAACTAACATAATTTGGACTAGCAGTGTAGCTCAGTGCTAGAGCACATGCTAAGCATGTGCTAGGCCCTTGGTTCAACCCCAGCACTTCAAAAAAAGAAAGAAAGAAAGAAAGAAAAAAAAAAAACACGAACCTTACATAATGTTTCCCTAGGTGACCTGGTCACCACTACATTACAAAATCATGCTGTAACATGAAATGCTCTCAAGAGGCCTCCTGAGCAGTCAAGAAACATACTAGAACAAGTATGTTTCTCTTTTCCCTTCTAGAGTGACCTTAACTTCAAATGCCCCACATCTGTTTTTCACCCCTGTTCATACTGCTTTTCAAGGGCCTAACATCTCTGGCAGTTCTCTGTTGGGGGAAACTGGCTTTAGCTCTCCTAGTTCCTTTGAGCCAGCCAACCTGAGCTCCTGCCTCCTGATTGGCCAGCTAGCTCATCAGACGACCCAGTTAAGACTTCACCTGAAAGCTTCATTCTGCAGCTACTTCTGAATTCAAAGTTATTCACAAGGGAAACACTTAGCTAAGTTGGGGCAGAGGCCAGGTGTTTATCATTTCTGTGGGTCTATAAGTACCGTCTGCAGTCATATCACTCCTGTGCTCTGCCTTCACACACATACCCCAAATCACACCCCTACAGAAGGAAGAATAAAAATGCAATGTGCTGCTCTACCTGCCTCATGATGATGTTAGCCAGAGTATTCATTCACAGGCATTCCCTGGGTGACTCCTGTTTGCCAGCCACTGGGCTGACTGATGAGCATACAGTGGTACAAGGCCTCACCAAGATCTAAGTGACACCATGCAAAGCTCTACTAAGCACCATGATCTTTAATATATGTGCAATTTTCAATTCAAGAATGATTTCCCCAAAACCAAAGGTCAGATGTTTTCACTGGTATGTGGAAGAAAAATCACAATAAAGGAGAGAGAGAAGAGAAATTCAGTACATTAGACAAAAGGAAATGAAAGGAAGAGAGAATTAGCAATAGGAAAGACATAAAATAGATCTAACATAATTTTCCTATGTACACATATGAAAATACTTAAGTGAATCCCACCATTGTGCCCACCCACAAGAATGGGGTCCTAATTAGGTTAGAATAAGACATATTCCATGTTGTATAATTTTATACGATTGGATTCTACTGTTATGTATAACTAAGAAAAAACAAATTTAAAAAAATGGTACGTCCCTCCTCACAGGCACAAAGACATCTGCTTGATGGCATTTAACTCACAGAGGCAGCACTTCACTGCGGACCAGGCCCTGGGATCTTACCTCCAGAGCAGTGGCTGAGTCCTCCAGTAGTTACCTGGCAGGCTGCCTGTAGCCTTAAAGGGTCCAGAGGCTGAAGATCATGACCCACAAGGGGCTGGGGAGACACCATGTGAGGAGGGCCCACAGTACTTTTGGTGAGGGTACTCTGTCGTACTTGAGTGTTACTCTTCTCACTAGCTCCTGCTCAAGAAACAAAGGAAGAATCGATTAAAGTTCAAAAAAGCAAGTGAAGGAACTGTTATGTGTAGAGGAGAGAGTGGGATCACTGTCATTCCACTAAGCTAGAAGGCTTCCTAAAGAATGAAGTATTTTTAACAGTGCTTAAACAGCGGGTGTGTAGTCTACAGGAAGTAAGAGAAAAAGTTTTTAATAAAGGACGGGAACTGTTTAAAAGAGATCTCAGAAGCAAATAATAAGATGGGAGGGTGAATAAGTCAACACATTCTTTATCAAAAGTCTCATATCAGGTTCACAAAAACCCCAGGTTCTGGGGTATAACCTACTTTATTTACCTTGCTCTGGGGAGAGGGCAAGAGTACTGAGTGCTTCCTCCAACATCTGGATTTGCTTGAGTAACTTTTCACCTTTGTCTGGAAGAGCCTGGATGTTCACCACTGCCAATGTGCTCTGAAAAACAGATCTATGAAATGGATTGCCCAAGTTGTTAGAGGGGTAGCTTCAGATTTTAAAAAGCCTAACTTGCCAAAATTCTGAAAGGATGGTCATTTAAGCATGCATGTAAAAACCAGGATTTTTTCCAAAGCTCAGCTCACTTACTAACCCTGAAAGTATAGGAAAGGCAGAAACTTAACATCCACTTAAAAAACCTTCCCAATGAATATACTGAATAGTAAGGGTCTCCTAGCTGCACACCGCAAATGATGCTCTGACCTTAGAAATAAAGCACAAGTCAAGAGTTACCTTCTTTTGTTTCAGTTGTGTTGTAAGGTACACACGCTGGGCAGCTGGATCGGAGGGTTCTTTCTTCTTGGAAACGTTCAAGGAAGCAGATGTTTTTCTTTGCACACTTTGAACAGGGAGTTGAAGGTTCTCTGACTTTGGTGAGTCCATAGTCGAGTCAAAGAGTAGGGGGCTTCCTGGGATACAGGAAACGTCATCTTCCTCACTTTCACTACTGCTGGAGGCAGCAGGGCACCCCTCGCCCAGGGAAAGCCCTGGTGTTGCTTGTCCTTTAGGAGCAGGTCCCCGGGTCCCAGAGGGTGCCTGGAAATGCTCCTGGGGCAGCCTTTTCTGGAAGGTCTGCGTGCTTGGGCCATCCTTTGCCTTTGCTTCTTTAGCTTCCAAGTTCTTGAGGTGCTCCTTGCCGAGGTGATCCCCTTTTTGAGGCTGGCTTACTTGGTTCTGACCATGAACCTTCTGAGGCAAAAACTGGGTTTCCTTTTCTCTTGGAGATTCTGATTTGTTTTGAACATCTTTACTCTCACCATCTGACTTCTCCTGAGGAGATACAGATGGTCCTTTCGGCCCCTTCCCCGGGTGCTGTCTGGATGTAATTCCTTTAGTTTCCTCTGTTGTCTCTTCTTGCTCCTCCTCTTGAATTCCAGATTGCTTTTTCTTTATTACCAGACTAGATGAGTACTCTTTATCCATCGAGCAGTTAGAGTCAGGCTTTTGATACATGGACTGGTCTCCTTTTTCCCTTGACTTCTTAGCGGCCATATTTTCCTCCCCTCCCCCTTTGACAAACTGTTTCCAGAGAGCTGGGTTTTGATTCTTGTCGAGAACCTTGAATGGGTTTCTGGGCTGACTGGAAGGATGAGGAAATGGCTCAGATGTGTGCTGAGATTTATTGGTTACAGGATATTCTTTAGAATTAGGATCCTAAGGACAATGAAAATAATTAATCATAATATAAAATATTAATGCAACCCTCTTATCTAGGTGGCCTTTTTTCCTAAAGGAAATGGAAATTGTAACAGTAAAAGCAGTCCAATATTTCTAAACACTTCTGCATCTAAAAAATAATAGATGCCAAACTCACATAGAATAGTTTCTTAACTTTCAATGCATGTTCCTTCTCTGTTCATAATCACACTTTTCCAGGTCCTGACTATACCAAAGTGCTTTTACAATCATAGTAGTCACAATGTGTACTTTTCAGTAAAACCCAATCTCTCAAGATGAACTTTTCCCCAATCTAAACACTGTCCTACTATGCTCACTTTGATTTTGGCTTTCTGAAGGTTTCACTAGAAGAATCCAGAATCATACATTTAAGCTATATCTCTGCTAAAACAAGTCTCATTGCCTCCCTAGATCTAGTTCCCTATGCATCAGATATCTGTCTCCTAGTTTTATCTCCTAGTTTTATCTACCTATTTATCGATCTATACATCTAAACTTAGCCAACACCAATATCAAGTAGGTAGTAATCTGTAAGAAAACAGGGAAGTTAGCCAAGAAAATCTAATTTTTTTCCTAAATAGAATATCAATTGTATTTAAAAACCCTGAAAAATATTTAAGTGAAAGAAGAAGTAAATAATTAAATTTTGAATGTAACAATGGTACTTTGAAATAACAGTCCCTCCGGGTCTACCTTGTTGAAAGTTTTTCAGAAATGGTTTGATGACAAGCCACCTGTCAATAAGGCTTCAGGGTCTTTTCAGTCAACACCATGTGTTAAACAGGCTTAACATATGAAGTTGGAAAACACAAATAATCCCCACCTGCCAGGGAACACTTCCACACCAGTGTTTTCCCTCTGCCTTGCTTCTCGTGCATCGGAAGAATAACCTAATGAAATATAAATAATTACAACTATGAAAATCCTTAAAATAAGAGGTGAGTTTATTTTTAATCCAAGAAAACATCTGGGAACTATTTGATCCTGGCTTTGGGAGATCATTTGAAACCAACTCTAATATACACATAAAAAGCACAGGATATTTTAAAGAACTAGGAAGGCAAAGATGACCTGGTAACCGGAGACAGCAGACAGGTTTGTACTTTTTACTCTATAAAGAAGGACTGAAAGGAAGTTGGGGTTGTGGATCAGTGGTAGAGCGCTTGCCTAGCACATGTGAGGCCCTGGGTTCAATCCTTAAGACCACATAAAAAAGTAAATGAATAAAATAAAGCCATTTAAAAAAAAAAAGCTAGCTCATTTAAAAAAAGAAAAAGAAAAAAATGACTGAAAGGGAGACATTGATCAGCAATGGCTGCTAAAATCAGAAAAAGATAACCAGATATTGTATGTGCTGGAAGGGAGGCCACAATACCACTTAAAAATGGATGCTGCAAAAACAAAAACAAAACAATAAGCCTAACAAACTAAAAACAAACCCGAATGGGATCAAACTTCTCCATCCAATTTCTAACTCATAGAAAGTACAAACAGAGGCACATATAAAACTAAATCATGGGGGAATCGAATGTGCATAATCTTGACACTAGGAACTACCACAGGACCTGTGGTATTCCTTTGACAAATTACAATGCATTTTCTCAGTAGTCCCAACTATGCTTTGTCTTTTGTACATAATGGTTAAGAATTAATAAATAAAATGGAACCAACTGATTTTTTTTCATTAACCAAAATGATTCCTAAAAACTATGAATCAGTTAGAGGTTTAAAAGTGCATACTTGTTTAAATAGGTAATGTACTCAATCAAAGGAATAAAAAAAGAGAGAGAAAAGCTTCCTCCATACTCTATTTACCCTACTCACCTCCCTCCCAATATGTAACCATTCTTATCTTTCTATTCACCTTTCCAAAGATTTTCAAGTCCACAGTCAAGCCAAAATTATTAAAATTATTTTTGAAATTATTAAATTTAAATATTTAAATATTAAAAATGTTTAAAAAGTATATAAAATTACCTTTAGGCCATGTGAATAGGTTACATAAAACCAATTATGTTTAGATTTGGGTCCTATTCCCAAAATAGCTCATATGTACATGTAAATATTCAAACATCTGAAAAAATGTGAAGACTGAAAACACCTCTGATCCCAATCATTTCAAAAAAGGTATACTCAATCTGTACTAAATATCTTTCTTTTTGTTTTTTTTACTTGATATACCTTGGAAATTCTTCCGTAAGAATGTATATATGAAGAGTTTCCTCATTCATCTATTTATCTATCTATACATCTATCTCTCTATATATATTTTTGCAACTGAAGTTTTCATCCATCTATCTATGTATCTATCTATCTATATATTTTTTTTACAGTTGAAGTTTTCATCTTCATGATGTTACATCATTCTTAATCAAACCCCTCCTCATGGACAATGGAATCTTTACTGGAAGGATTTCATTGACAGGATCTATTTTAAAGCCCAATCATGTAGACTTTCAAGGAAGGCCAAAACTTAAAGAAGAAAACCCATATTGAGCATCCATGTGTTGGGCATAGTCCTAAAATGCTTTACTTAACATTCTTAAGTAATATAGCAAAGTAAAACTGATTAATTAATTTAATTAATCCAGATTAGTTATCTGGGTGGGTTTCTCTATTTTTAGAATAAAAAAATTGTTGTTACCAGGAACACCTGTTATCTCAGCTACTTACAAAGCTGAAGCAGAAGGATTGCAAATCTGAGGCTGGCCTGGGCAATTTAGTGTGGCCTTGTCTCAAAAAAAAAAAAAAAAAAAAATAGCCACTGGGACTATAGCTCAGTGACAGAGGACCCCTGGGTTCAATCTCCAATACTGCAAATTGTAAATCCATGAAGATGACAGTAGAAAAGTAGAAATATATTCTCATAGAGAAAGCAGATACTGATTCTACTTAAGGAACAGTATAATTTCTGCAGTGTATTAATTATTTTTCAGGACAGAGGTTATTAGCAATAATGAAGACAAAACCAGTTAGAGGAAGCCAGACCTCTTCAATCCTATTTCCTCACCAGAAGGTAAAACCTCCCTTCTTATTAAGAGCAACTGTCCATGGGCAAACTAAAAAATAAATATTAAAATTCTCTCTCTCAAAAAAAAAAAAAAAGAGCAACTGTCCAACCCAGCACAGCACTGCCAAGCCTATTCACTTCAGCAAGGCAGAGTCTCTCAAGCTCCAGAACCTTCTTCGGGTGGCTGGAATCCCAGCACTACCACACAATTAGCTCTGAGCCATCAGACACTGGACACTGTACTTGACTATTCCCTGTGGCAGTTTCCTCTGTGAAGTAGAAAACAAAGCAAAACAATAACATTTATGCCTTCTGGTCAATTTGAAGATTAAATGCATTAATAAATGTAGAGCTAAATCATAAACTCATTCTTGCCAATCATTTTGTTTATTTATTATCCGCATTTCTACTTATTGCTGTTTTGCCTATAACACTTTTTGTCCTTTGAACATTTTTAAGGTCACTCAAGGCCAAGTTCAAGTCTCAATTCTTCCACATTCTCAGTAACCTTTTTAACAGGTTATTGATCTTAGAGTCACATTTGAACACATTCAATTTAGTGCTCTAACTGGCAGGTGGAGTGCTCCCCATCTTGCTATGTCTAATGCTTATCCGAACTGTGTCAAAGGACCCTTAGGGGTAGAGTCTACATCTTTATATGCTCCATCACTAAAAAACATAAAGCTGGATTTTACCTCATTCTTTTATGCTAAAATTCAAGATAGAACAAAAATGGAAAATACAGTATTCGAAGAAACAGAGATGAATGTTTTTGTAACCCTAAAGTGAAAAAGGCTTTTCTAAGATGACATAAAATTCTAAAGTTGAAAGATAAAGAATTTAGTAATTTTAACCACATAAAAGTTTTAAAGTTTCATGTGGCAAAAATACTCTAAAGAAAATAATATGTAACAGGCAACTGGGAAAAAGTCATTGACATACAAATACCACAAAGGGCTAAAATTCTTTACAAACAAGAATATTTCACTGGCCTCCACAGTGCATGATACTCTACAGCACCTAGTAAGTCCTGACTTTATGAGTGGGGTTCTTCATGGTTGGTGGGCCTGAGGGCCTTTGCAGGGATCTGGCTCATGCCCAAATGCTTCTCTATCATCACTCCACCCATTATATTGGAGCTAGATACGCTGCAGCTCAATTTTACCCAATCACCCACAACACAGGAGTTTTGCAGACATGTAGGTATTATTAAAAGTAAAACATTGTGTACATCCACTACAACCAGCTATTTAAAGTACCAAAATGTTTTACCTATTTGTAGACAAAGGAGTATTTCCATCTCTTTTGATCACATGTGTTTGAAAAGAACAGCAGATAGATAAAAAGGAGAGAACCTGAACTTGGGAGCTTGAAGACAAGGCCCAACAGAGTGTGCCATATGTCAAGGCAGGATTTCTTCCCTGTGGGTTTCTGAGAGTCTATCCTAGTTTTCCTTATTTGCTGTACACAGAATGCCATATCCAAAGAGCTAGTCACATGCTGGAGAGTGATGCCATCTGGCGTTTAAATCAAAGAACTACATGTAAATGCAGCTACACCACAGGGTACAAAAAACAGGCATCTTAACCATGGCTGACCCCCTACTTCATTTACTCCCTACTCTGTTCCTTTGTTGCACCTGTCTCCTGGCTTTGTTAAGCCTAGCATAATCAACATCATAGTATTAGTCAGAGGGTATAAAACATTCAAGTACTTGAACAGAAAACTCAATTTGCAAGAAGGATAGGCAGTCCTCAATATCCTTCTTATAAGTCCTGGCTAAATGCCCTTCCTGTTTGCTAAGGAAATCATCATCTATGTGCTTATTTATTTCTGCTTAAATTCTCAGTCTGTACCTGGTGCTTTTTGTTTTTTCTTTTAATCTGTTGTATTTTATTTGTCCCAACTCATCCTTTTTTGGGAGGGTAGGAGGTACTGGGAATTGAGCCCAAGGGCACTTTGTCACTGAGCTACATCTCCAGCCCTTTTTATTTTTTGAGACAAGGTCTCACTTAGTTGCTTAGGACCTCACTAAATTGCTGAGGCTGGTTTTGAACTAAAAATCCTCCTGTCTAAGCCTCTGGAGTTGCTGGGATTACAAGTGTGTACCTCTAAGCCTGGCCCAAAATAATTTGGGGGTGGAGGGATACTGGGAATTGAACTCAGGGACACTCAACTACTGAGCTGTATCCCCAACCCTATTTTGTATTTTATTTAGAGAAAGGGTCTCACTGAGTTGCTTAGCGCCTCACTCTTGTTGAGGCTGGCTTTGAACCCACAATCCTCCTGCCTCAACCCCCAGAGCCGCTGGGATTATAAGGCATACATCACCATGCCCAGCCCAAAATTATCTTTTTAAAGCTGCAGTACCTATCTCCTAGTGAGTGTTCTGGATCTGGGCAAAAAGAAAACATTTAGCAGACTTGCCTTATCTATCTAACACAAGGACTGTTAATGACAAGTGCTCAAGATTCTACCTTCAGCCTAGCTCTCCACTCAGAGCTGCACATTTACTTTTATAGCTGACTTCACATTCACTTCATACACAATTAGTCCATAGCTATACCTCTTACAACACACCCAAATCCTCTACTGATGTTACCTTTCCCTCCCTGTCCCACTTAATATAAAATCATCTCCCAGAAACCCCAACTTAACAACTACTCACTGACCACTAATAATGTGCCAAACATCAGACTGAGCATACCACACTTTCTCTAGGAATACTCACAGCTCAGGAAAGTCGGGGCTGCCGACTTTCTCACTATTCCAGATGAGAGCGTGGATGGAAATGCCCTACCAGGAAACATGTCTTATCAACTCTAATTCTCTTTGCAAATTTTCTCCTGCCTAACTGCCCTCAGCTTCACTGTCACTGCCTCCATTCAGGCCCATGTCTTTCTTTCACTTAGAGAAAGCAGGTATGTTTGCAATCAGCTGGATCTGAGTCCCAGCAAAGTCATTTCAAAACCACAGGACCTCAATGGCTTTTCTAACCTCTCTAGTGGCATTTCCTCCTCTGCCTGTAAAATAGAGCTATTGAAATGAAAGATAAGAGCTAATGAACATGCCGTGTAGTAGGTATTCAATACTATTATTTCAGCCTTTTGCTTCCATTCTGTTCACTTTTTAATCACCATGATCCTTTTAATGCAAATTGGAAATCCTTCAGTTCCCTTCTGCCACCTACGACAGTGTTTCTGTATTGTAGCAGATCCCTAGTGGTATGAAAATGATTTTAAATATCAGGAGTACATCCAGATTTCATGTAATAAAGGCTTACCAGACCCACTGTACCAGCAGAAAATGATGTAAAGATGAAAATTTTTTAAAATCCCACTTATAATTGCATTGAAAAACATAATCAATGAGGAATTAATTGAACAAAAGGGGCACAAAAACGCTATGATGAAAATGATCTAACAATTTTAAGGTTATAAACAACTGTGCCATGTTCATGAATTGAAAAACTCATATAGATCTCCAAAAATTGATCTATATAAGTTCAATGCAATTCCAACAGGATTTTCTGTGGAAATTTAAAAAGCTGATCCTACATTTTATAAGCAAATACAAAAATCCTAGAATGGCCAACATAATCTTGAAAAAGGACAAAGGTGGAAGATTCATACTATTTTACCTGATTATGTAAGAATATGTAAATGGATCAGTGGCACAAATTAGCAACCTCAGAAATAGACCAATCTTATTCGGTCAATTGATTTTCTACAAAGATGCTAATGATTTCAATGGAGAAAGGAAAATCTTCAAAATATGGCACTAAAATAAAATTAGGTAACATATGAAAAAGTAAATGAACCTCTACCCACAGTACACAAAATTAATTTGAGACAGATTATAGACCTAAGTGAAAAAAAAAAAAAAATCTACATCCCTGAAAATCTATCTACTGGAGATATTGTGATCTTGGCATAGGCAAAGATTTCTAGAAAGAAAACAAAAAGCACAAATCATAAAACAATAATAAACCAGACTTCATAAAAATTAAAAATTGTGTTTTTCAAAAAAAAAGTTAAGAAAATGAAAACCAAAGAGTGAGGGAAAAAAATCCACAATATGTCAAAAAAACTTGTACAAAGAACTATTCCTACTCAATAGTGAAAAGACAAATAACAACATTTTTAAAACAGGCAAAAATCTCAAAAGTTATGCTGTATTATTCTATAATGTAACAAATTTGAAAAGACAAAATTTTAGAAATGGAGAACAGATTTATGGTTCCTGGGGGTGAGGAAGAGAGAAGGAGGGTATGGTTACACAAGCAGAACAGAAGGAATCCTGTGGTGAAGGAACTATTCATTTTTCTGACTGAATATGATGAATATGTAAAACTACACATGTACAAAATTATATAAAACTAAACATATACAAAGTAGTATAAGTATAAAGTTCACTTTACAAATAAGATCAGTACATTGTATCAATGTCAATATCCTGATTGTTTTGCAAATGTTACTATTGGGAGAAACTGGGTAAAGGCTACAGGGGACCTTGCTACATTATTTTTTACAAACTGCAAGTTAATCTAAGATCACTCAATGAAAATTTTAATTAAAAATATATTTAAAATATTTAAACAGATACTTCACTAAAGATTTTCGGAAAGCAAATCAGTACATAGAATAAATGATGGTACATTCATAAATGGAATTAAATTTAGCAATAAAAAGTGAACTACTGACACAATATGGATAAATTTCACAGACGTTGTTAAGTAAAAGCAGTCAGATGCAAGAATACATAAAATATAATTTAACTGATGTGAAGTTCAAAAACACGCAAAACAAATCTCAAGTGATAAAAACCAAAACTGACTGCTGAGTAGAGAGGGGCAGAATTAATTGGAATGAAGAAAATGGTAGTTACTGGGGTGATATTTTGAGTTGGAGCTTAGTTTTATGGGTGGATATATACATTTCTCAAAACCCAACCAGTTGAATTCAAGTTCTATGCATCTTATTATACATGTAAATCAATTAAGGAAACAGTAGTGTGGGCTTACTCATGTATATAAAAATTGTGAAATTGATACTTTATTATCTATTTTGGAGTGGGAGAGGCAGAGATCTAAAAATACAAAAATAGTTATTCTAATAGTTTAATGTTAATATAATTATTTTATATAGAATATTATACAAAGACCATCACATCCTGGCCCCTGCCTTCCTGGTCAACCTTATCTCCTGAAGCCGCACTAACATATCTGCTCAACTGAGACTGGGGGTATAATCAGAGGTAGAGTGTGTGCTTAGCTTAGGTCTTGGATTCAATCCCCAGCATTGCAATAAATAAAGCTTTCATTTTACAGAATTCCCTGCCTTTCCCAAACCCCATATAAAGGAAACTACAATTTGAGTTACCATTTGTTAGACCTTTTTACATATTACCTCGTTCTATTACCAGAACTAAATGAAAATAAGTTGGTGGGCTGATGTTATTAGCTCCCTGCAAATTAGAAAGGAACAATGGTAGAGCTGTCTACCCAGAAATTAACCACAAGTCTGGCTTCTCAGATTAATGAATTGCTCAGCAGTTAGGGAATAACAGCTCTGAAGATACTCAATACATATAGAAATGCTGTTCATTTTTCAATGGCGACTTAAAAAAAAAATCCAAAAAATATCTCAGCTAAGACTCTTTGGGTTGGAGGGGAATAGAAAACTGTTCCTTTTGGATACTTACCTGCATTTTTTCTTGCCTTGTAGTGGAAACAAACTCTGAAGCTCTACCACAAAGTCCTCATGCAATAAACAATGAGAAACAGGAATGCTAGAGAAAAAAAAAAAAAGAACATTTTGTTTTAAGAGCAAGGAATACAGCAACATCCTAAAAATAAACTGAAACTATTGGTTTAAACCAAGAATCTGTGGAGAGCCTCTAATGGATTTGTAAATCCCACACACTCCTCTATCTATATGCTTTTTTCTGAGCATAGGGTAGATAGCTTCCATTTCTTTCCACTTCTCAAATAAAGCATGACGATAAAGACCTTTTTCTTGATGACTCAAATGTTTACAACTGCACTGACTCTACACTGCAATACCACAGACTAATGACTGAAGTCTAAGATTAGGTGTGAGGCCCTACATGAATTTTCCTCAGGTTCTTCCGTTAATCTTTATACCTTAATAACCTATAAGCTGTCACATAGCATTATTCACATGCTTACCTCTAACAATATGTAACTATTTTACTTCTTGTCTGACATACGCAAACTACTACTCTCTCCCAACTTACTAGGAAAAAAAATTAAGTGTGTATAACATTCAAGAGTAAACAGGTTTGTGTAAAGGTCTAAAGTACTCTCCTATGACTCGTGAAACTTTTTTGGCCTATATTCTGGTTATCAGATATATTCTAAATATGTCAAGTTTATCAAATATTTGTCCTCATGTGAACAAGTTCATGTAGCAGTACATTTGTATAAATGGCACCCTATATAGGAGCATGTTTATCTTGACGTAAATCTGAGTCAGATGCCAGGACCAATGCTAACTCCTATGAAAGCGAACATGCTTGTATCTCTCAAAATCCGTGCTGGGTACTGAATCTAAGAGGTCCAGTATATTTAGAAACTAGAAAAAAACAGTAAAGGGCCAGCAGTGGTGCTGCATGCCTATAATCCCACAACTTGGAAGGCTGAGAAAGGAGGATCATAAATTCAAGGTCAGCCTCATCAACTTAGTGAGACCCTGTCTAAAAATAAAAATGAAAAGGAGTGAGGATGTACCTCATTGCCCTGGGTTCAATCCCCAGTACCAAAACAGACAGACAAGCACAAATCCAGTAAACGCTGATATAATGATATGCTTTTGATCTAAGAGAGCCTGAGTATTATTTATTGGTTCCTTCTATCCTAACATTTGACTGCTTTACTCAAATACTAAAATCACTTTGTATTAAACTGTTTCCCAGTAATTTCTTTAAAACAATTAAAAAAAAAACTTTTTAGAGGGCTAAAAAATTATTTTTGGTAAAAGTCTGAAAAAGGATCCAAAGTCTTTGACTTAGTTTCAAAGCAAAACAAAGATACAAATCATATAATTCATGGAAGGGGAACATGAGAAATTAATAAACATATTGAAAGGATACTTTATTTTCTACTACAAATATCCATTATATGCTTTACATGATATTAAGAAAATAATTTTACCAAGTTCAGCTGAATAGACAGCAGGAAGAAATGTTTGATGATGTGATAGTTTTCAGTTAAAAAAATGTAGGCACCTGATGTGATAAAATAATAAAATAATAACACTCAAGATTTTAACTTTTCTCACTTCAGAGAAGATGCCTAACGTTTCTGGGTCTGTAAACCTGAGTACTGATGTTTCTTTCAGCGCTAATCCCTAAAAAGAAAAGTTTTGTCATCAACATCACTATTTAGACACAGAGTCCTATTTTAAGAAAAGGACTGATAATCCAGTGACCACTGTTTTAACTCCAAATATTTAAAAACCAGTCCAGCCTAAAACTAGTGCAAAACAGGAACAGATTATTCTTAAATAGGTCTATTGTTTGTCCTCACTTCTTTAAAGGAAGGGTGGAATGTCCAAGCTGAAGGGAGTGGTTAAGGCGCGACAGGTGACCAGAAATCAAACATTGCACGAGGCTGGAAGAAACTAAAAGGATCCCTGTTTTACACGCGGGGAAATCCAAGGCCCAGGAGGGGAAAGTAACCAGACTCGGGTCACACAAGTACAATTGGTGGGGGCCTCTTCCCAAACTCCCCGATGACTCGGGATTACCAACTCCTCTGAGAGTGCCCGCACAGCACGGGACGAGCAGCTCCCCTGGGAGGCTCAGGCGGACACTGGGAATCCTGCCCAGCCCGAGACCTACTCGGTGGTCTTCACGAAGCTGCAAGAGTCCTCTCGGCACACATAGAAGCTCTTTCCTTTATTCGGGCCATCGCGAACTCCGGTTTTCAAAAGGCAGAAGGTCCCTGAGGAGACAAGGAGGTCACCAACAATTACGCCACGCTAGCTCAATGGCAGGGGCGAGTGGGGTGGACTTACGCATTCGGCCTCTTACCGTGCTCCGGACACTTGACTCCTTCCATAGCGCTCCTTCTCCCGCACCCCAACCTCCGCTTCCGCCTTTTACTCCGTCCCGCCGCGGTTCGGAGCCAATCATCATTCACCTCTTGTGGCCACACCCCCTCTCACCCCCACAATTCACCGCCGGAGACTTAAGCACCGCCCTCGCTGTTATCTACCAATCATATAACAAATTCGCTCATCTCCAGCCAATCACAGCCGCCCTCAGGCAAGGCGCGCGCCGAAATCAAAGACGGAATGAGGGGGAGTGGAAGACCTGACGTTTGCCGGCTGGGGCGTGGCTGAGGCTGGAGAAGCTTCCAGACCACACTGACTAAGAAATGCAGATCCTAGAAGAAGGAAGAGCGAGAAGGAGGCCCAGGCGATTCTAGTGTAGCACTTAGACCAAGAAGCGGCTCTAGAGGGAACACGAGTCCAGCCACTGAAGGCCTGAGCTTCGCAGCCATCTCTGAGTCGGGCCCTTTTGGGCGCCTGGCCTGGACGCTGCCGCTGCGATTGAGTCCTGAGGAGCAGTCACTGTAGGCGGAGCCACTGAATTTGGCGGCGCCTGAGCGGCGGGAGCTGGGTGATGGGGACAGTCCTTTATGGCAGCCGCGGTGAATTGTAAAGTCTGCAATAACGCAGGCAGAAAAACTTCTCTGAGACCCACAACAGTCCTTTAAATTTGCTTAGCGCCTTAGATTTCAGAAAGTACTTGCACATAAAAGTCTCTTCATTCAACAACCTGCTGAGATGGGCAGCTTCTAATCCCAAAGCTCACCCAAATTCAAAGAGTCATTGAGTGGGCGATGTATGGACAGGTGCACAGGTCTGAATTCCAGGGCTAGAATCCTTTCGACCACGTAGCTGGCTTTGCTTTTTTCTTTTTTCTTTTCGTTTTCCCGTGTGGGAATCAAATCCAGGGCCTTGAACGTGCTGGGCAAGCACTGAGCCACAGCCTTTTGCCTAGTTGGTCCCTAGGCCCTCTTAGTGTGAAAGCACTGTTTAAGTGGCAAAGTGGAAGGAGGGCAGTGTTTAAATTTAGCGAGGGCAGAATTTACTTTGTATGTTTTATGTTATCACACCTTTTCTACTAGTGAGCTTTTTTTTTTTTTTTTAATTTCTTAGTTATAGGTGGACACAGCGTCTTTATTTTACTTTATGTGGTGCTGAGGATAGAACCCAGTGCCTCACGTATGCTAGGCGAGGGCTCTGCCTCTGAGCCCCAGCCCCAGCCACTATTAGTGTGCTTTTGTAATTTAAAAAAACCAAAAGTTGAAGGAAACAAAAGGGAATGTATTTGAAATTGTTATCAGTTCTATTAGTCGACAGAAATGGAGGAATAGATAGGAAAGATTTGTTGCAATCGAGATGGCTTCATATTACAGCAATTGAGGACCATATGTCTTAGGCATATGGAGTGGCACATGCAACTGTTACAGGGACAGGAGGATGGAAAATCTGTAATGTCTAGGAAATCTGGGCTATATGACAAATGTAAATGTTATGGGGAGTCTAGAAGACAAATCTGTGGTATCATTTATTAATTTAACAGTACTTACTAAGTACATTTTTGTGTGTCTAATGTGGAGTAGTACTTGGGAAATACAAAATTCATGTATTCACATTCACACAAAGTTTAAAACAAATATTATAAAGACAAGGAGCTTACTGAATAGAGGAGACTGAACTGGCACATATTGAAAACTTAAATAGCAATATGAAATAATATTTAAATGTCAAGATGAATGGAATTAGCAGTAAACTCCTGAGGGCTAGAGAAAGAAATGTCTGGAATTTCCAAAGTGAAGTTAGTTTTTCTGCGAAACACCAACTCTTGAGATAAGAGAGATGAAACAAACAAACAAGTGGAGGCATTATCATTATTCCCAGTTATAATTCTTGTAATTTAGAGATTTTTATGTACATGTTTAATAGATGATATATATGGGAACATAAATACTGGATTTGTAGGAGGAGGGGCATGGTAATTGATTTTCTTGAATAATATTATTTTGAAACAATAAGACAAAATCAAGTCTTCAAATATCACATTTAAAAAGAAGTTTCTCATGAATTGCAGTGCAGGCCTGTAATTCTAGTGACTAGGGAAGCTGTGGCAGAAGAATCACAAGTTCAAAGCCCCCGTCTCAAAATAAAAAGGACTAGGGATATAGCTCAATGGTTAAGCACCCCTTGGTTCAATCCCCAGTACCAAAACAAAACAAAAATGAAGAAGATTTTCCTCTACAAGCAGATATCTCAGGTTCAAGCCCACAAAAGGGTACACAACAAATTACAGAAAGGGGGAATATTTCTTCCTTAAATTGGGGATGTGCTAGTTCAAATTTCATCCCTGGACAGCTTAGCTCACCTAGGCATATTTAAAAGCGTGGAAAAAAAATACCTTGGACATTGGATGAAAGATGATCATAATTAAAGATATTTTTAATTAATTTTTATGCCTCATGGAAAAAAACTGATGTATACAATATACATTTTTCATTATACATGAGCATATTTGTATTAATGCCTCTTAATTTGTAAATATATTTTATGTTTATATTCATAGTCTATAGAAAACTGGAGAAACTTTGGAGAATGTGCTTTGTGGGCCTCTTAGTTTTGAGTCGAGAATTTGTTTTTCCTGAAAACTTGATTTATTCAAAGTAAATTTTTAGGCTTGGTCTTAGATCTAGTTGGTTTAAATGCAAGGTTAATAATTTAACAAATTCTTTCATTTTGGGACTGATCAAAGAATATATTGAAATTCTTCTAAAACTTATATACTAATGGCTACACTAAAACTCAGAACTGTATACTTCAAATAGATATTTTTTGTTTTTCTGGTACACTGGGGATTGAATCCAGGGGTGCTCTACCACTGAGCTATATACCCAGTCCTTTTTATTTTTTATCTTGAGACAGATTCTTGCTAAGTTACCCTGGCTAGTCTTGAAGTTGTAATCCTTCTGTCTCAACATCGCATGCTCCTCCATACCAGCCCACACAGGTGAATTTGGTGCCATCAAAATGATACCTCAATAAAACAGTTTTTAAGAATGTGTAAGCAATGCCAAAACATTTACATAGAAAGTGAAAACTAAAATTATTAATCTAAATATGTTAACACTCTAAGGAAATATCCTAAAGGGTGAAGAAATAAAATAGTAAAAACCCTTTAATTTCAGATGGTGTTGATGGTTAAGCATGCTAGTTCTCTGAACTGTTGAATGAACGACAGCGTGGTCCAAACAAACACTCAGTTTAATTCTTAGGGAATTGCATTTTCTCAGGTAAGCATTGTGCTGACTAACATCTATTAAACTTATCAGACATCCTAAGATATAGTGGTGAAAAGATCATCTGTAACAGTCACCTCTTGACATCCCTGTAACTATTTTAAAATGATCAGCAATTCCAGGTTTTAAATTATTCATAAAAATTCAGCCGCTATGCAATTTTTGTTCATTATTTTGAAAACTGAATTGTTTAAATGTATTTTCCCAATCAGCTGACAATTCTAAGAATCATTTGGATTGGTGGTGCTAGGGATCAAACCCAGGACCTTGCACCTGCTAGGTAAGTGCTATACCACTAAGGTATACCCCCATCCCAACATTTTGTTTTCTGAACATCTGGGGTTTTTGATTGTTGCTTTAAAGTGAGGTAAGGAGGAATAACTAATTTCCAACTGGCAGATAAAGGGTTTTTTTTTAACCTATGAGTTTCAACCCAAGAGGGAGCATCCTCACATCCTAACTATTCCTGAGGTATGTTCTAAGTTCATTTACATATATTGCTACATTCTGTGCTTACGATTACCCTAGCAATGAGCATTCTTTTATCCTCATTTTAAGGATTAGGATACTATACTGAAGTTTAGAACAGCTAAGGAGCTTGCCCCAAGACCATGCGCCTGATCACTTCTGTGCAGGTCCTCTCCTAGAACTTTGGAGCCAGATAGGGCCCATAGATTAATTTTGTCCTGACTCATAGTCACAAAGTTTACACCAGCAGATTAGGGACTGTAATACATATTTTAAGATTCCCAATCCAGTTCTTGCTACTATAGTATTTTTATAAAGCATCAATTGTTCAGTGATTCATTCTGATATTGAACCTACATCTCCAAGCATTTAGGTGTTTGTTGTGATAACCATACATTACTTTACACCAGCAGATTAGGGACTGTAATACATATTTTAAGATTCCCAATCCAGTTCTTGGCAACTATAGTATTTTTATAAAGCATCAATTGTTCAGTGATTCATTCTGATATTGAACTTACATCTCCAAGCATTTAGGTGTTTGTTGTGATAACCATACATTACTCAACAAATCCAAGACTAATGGAAAAAAACAACCACAAAAGTCCTGCCATTTTATAAATGATCACTAGGTAGCAGCATATTAACACAAAAACCACAGAGATGGCCCATCCTCTTCAGTTTCATTCCTTTTGCTTACAGATACATAAAAATACTTCAATCTCATCTCATTTTGTGCTTTTCAAATATATGACTATTTTTAACTTGTTCTTTGATATAAGCATAGGATGATAGAGTGAGGACAAATCTGCTTATAATCTGAAAAGTCAAGAGACTGTCTATTTCACAGTATTAAATTTTATTGTTCTTAAAATGTTATATCAAAAATAGTTCAAAGCAAGTACATCTTCTTTTAAAATATGTGTGCAATTCATTGTGTATATGTTTGTTTTTCACTGTATTGAACAATTGAGTTTTAGAGCATTGCCATCACCCCCAAAATTTCCTCAAACTGTGTGTCGTCAATCTACACTACCACCCCTGTCCTCAAGGCAACCACTGATCTTTCTGTCTTTGTAAGTTTGCTTTCTGGATATTTCATAAAAATGGAGTCATAATAACATGTAGTCAGTCTGTTGCTTCTGTCTCTTACATCTAGCATAATGCTTTTAAAAAAAAATTTGGTGTAGATATACACAATACCTTTATTTTATTTATTTATGTGGTGCTGAGGATCGAAACCAGTGCTCCAGGCATGCGAGGCAAGCATTCTGCCACTAGGCCACAACCTTTGTGGTTCATCCATGTTGTAGCAGGTATCA